ACATCCTCCAGTTCGGAACTGCTGACACGGCAAACGTGCGTTAATTTGACATTCGCAGCAATGACGTCGGTATGGGACAAGGCCGCTCCTGTGTTGTCCGGTTCTGGGGGAACTGGAAAAGAGGACTCTGGTTTGTTTTTCTTCTGAGTTGCTAGTTTCCTGCCACAACACAAAGAACCCAAGCCAAACCTTTTGAAGAAGCAAAGGTGTATGAGGCCGCATCCCTCCACCCATTGGCCACTTGAAAGCTCGCTCCCTCACTGGTCTGCTTTCCTGTCGGGAGTTGCCATATGGTCCCTGGCCACCAGACACTTGTGCAAAACGTGCTCGACGAATTTTTGGTTGTACTGTTTGGATTCGCTTAACTGTGTGCTTCTCTCAGGTGATGTACCGTCATCGTGGAATAACACAGTTTTCATCATGTTTGCCAAAAAAACCCTTGCAGTTCGAACAACGGACTTCGCCCGATGGCCTGTGTCCGATTATTCTACAAGGTGTTTTGATTACATAAGCTTGGCCCGCATCGAATCGCGATTGGAAGCTGCCCAGGGGCCAACAGCATGAGTTCCGACCGGCACACCGGATTGAGGAACACCTTTTTGACAGCTAATTTAATTTTTGGACACGACGGCAGCAGCCGGAATCCCGTTTTGGATCACTAGTCTGGATTTGTCTAAGGCTTTTGACAAATGCGATGGGATGCAATATGGGAAACTTTGTCGGCCGACGGTGTTTCAGATCATCTGGGTACTTTCGGACGTATACTGTGACCAACTGGGAGTGGTCCTTGGAAAATGGGGGAGCAGTCGCGACTTCGAAATCCAATCCGGTGTGAGACAAAGGTGCGTACTCAGCCCCGATTGTAGTGTTCCGTTCTGCAGCCTGCCATGCGGAAATGGAGGCAACACATTGGATGATTAATATTGTTTGCCGTTGCAGACACGCCAGCGACATTTGCATCTTTGCACGGGCGCAATGGAAAATGCCGATGATGTTAGAATCGTTGGTTTCGTTCCTTGCAGGGGTCGGGTTGTGCTTGAATGAAGACAGAGCGGTCATCACAACAGAAACCACCCTCGGCATTGTCTGTTACAAACAGGCATCATTTCAAAATCCGGGGGCCCGATCAAGGCCAAAAGTGGTTGGGTCGCCTTTTGATTGCGAAACACTTTGCGAACCATATGGTCGATGCGCAATATCATGTGCTGCAAGGCATTGAAAAACCTTTTTACGCCAATCGCCGGGTTCTTCAATCTTTGTGGTGTTGATGAGGAATCGTGTGTCGAAATTTCGCACACCGAACAGTCCATAAACAAACGCTGCACACGTTATGTGTTGAGTTCCGGAAATCCGTTCGTCGAGTTGTAGCCCCGTGTCGGTCGCAGCAGATCTGGCAAGTGAATTTTCCTTCGAGGGCCAAGTGCTGATGGGCATGGCCATCGAAAACTGTAGTTCGCACCAAATCTGGGTAGCTACCCAGCCGCACGCCATATGGCGTGCCAGCACCGTCACTGCGTCGACAGTGCCCATCTTGCTTGCCCAAACGTGCCAATTTTCACCGTTTAACCCACACCGAATATCGTCAACGTGGTACAGCAAGGTCAGTGTATTGTGCTTGTAAAAGAAAAGGTGTACGCCTGGATTGCGCACAGCCTAACCAAAAAGATTGTGATATAACGTCAGTTTCAACGGCAACCCAAAAGCAAAAAACTGTTTGATTTCGCCCCTGTACATTGAACCCGCTGCTGTCGGGGCCTAACTGAGTTTGGAAGTTTTCGAGCTTGCGCACTACTTCACGAGGCGGATAGGTGTCCAGTACCCATTCCTCGAAGATTTTTTTCTTGGGTTTCCACAATGTCCGAAGCTGGCATAGCAGGGCCACGGAAGACAGCCGCAACTCCCAGAATATTGTTGCACTGCCCCCGCCTCTGGGCAGCAGCGAGTGGCAGCGCAACGAGTGGCGCTGGTCAGAGCCCTCATGGCACTCCTCGGCCCACTCAACATGCATGTTCTTTTTTTCCACGCAGTACCTTTGGTCTGCGGGCAAAATCCGGACCAACGGCAACTAAAATAGAGGGTGGTCTTGGGTTCTGCTCCCCCGCTTCTGCATCCACGGCGGGCGCAGCATGCGCCGACAATACCACGACGGGGACGATTTTGGGCAAACCGCACAGTGAGCGCCCGTGCCCTTGCTCACCCGCGCAGGATGCATCTTCACGCTCCAGGTGACCAACCCGCCTGTGGGTTTTGAAATTGGGAACTGTGCAAACGCTTGGGGCAAGATGAGCTGGCGGGTGGGCACTAATTGGAGCCGTGCACGACGCGGTACAGTCCTCCCTGTGGGCCATCCCATGCTACGTGCCAAGCAACCCACAGGAATATTGATGGCGATGTACAAGCACCATGTCTGCAAATCCATGGTTCTGGTGTGCACAAACCGGTGGGGAAGGAGTGTTCCCGTTCCACCGCTCTTTGTTTTGGGAGCACCCCTGCGAGCTCGGATAAAGTTTCCCTGCTCAACCTGGATGGTAATTAACTAGCTGGTGTCCGAGAACGTTGAGTTAACGTTCGGTGGCATAGAGGACAATGTGCAGCGCGTTGAGCTCTCCCCGCGGAACTTGAGTGCCCCCAAAAGACATCCAGGAACTTTGTCCCTCAGTGTCACAACCTCAAAAATGCGACCACCACGAATTCGTTTTGGACTGAAATTTGGCGGGCGTTTGGCTCAAAAAAACATGTAGTCCAATTGCAAAAGTAAGGTAAGATAAGGTAAGGTAAGGTGACCCTGCACCCACATTGGCTGCCCGAGCTGCTCACACAGCTGGATGAGCGCTCAGCCTAAAAGGGGCACCGAGCCCAAGTGCTGGACAATTGAGGTTGCCACCCTTCCTTTTCTGCATTTCCGAGTCTGCGCGTTTTGCTGCGTGGTGTTGTGTTGTGCGAGGGGTGTGGGTGCATTGGGAGCCTGACGGGGAGGGTTCCCATCGGCAAACCAAGCTGCAAGCAGCTTTCCGTAAAACAGTGGAGTGTTCCACCGCGGTGGGCATTGCCTCCCCGAAGCGCAAGGAGCAAGCGGGGAACGTCGTAGTGGTCCTGCTGTGGCGCACGCGTTCGCAGAATTGTACTGTGAGAAAACGGCCGCCAATGCCAAAGAAACGTCAACTCAAACCCTTACTGGTGTCGCGAACGGCAGTGTGGATTTGAGAGGTTTGTCTGTGTAGCCTTTTGGGTTAAGCTGATTGCATACCGGACATAGGAGGCTTCATGATTGGTTTTTGTATTTTTTGTGGGGATGGGTTGTTTCAGCCTTGACTGGAAACCTGTATACTAGTATACTACACATCGTGAAAACTTGTCTCCACACGAGGACGGTTGCATTTGTAGTTGTAGTTGGAAATCGCACATGGGCCAATGGGCGGCGCTGACGTAGCTTGCGATGCCTTACCCGTTTCAAAGGGGGCGTCTCAGACAAGTTCATTGGACAGCCCGTGCAAAAGGTGGTGGTTTCTGGAGCAGGCGGGGTGGGGCCATCAGGCACGTGAAGAACAAAATGAGGAAAAAAAAACACATTTTGCGTGCTGTAGGTGAGTGGGCCCACATGGGTATGAGCGCAGCATGCGGAATTTTACGCAGTTCTTGAATCATGAATTCAAGCAATTAGCGGACCTGGTGACCTAGCCTCCTGCGTGTGAGGCCTTTGTATGTGCTGCTTGTGCCACTGGCCCACAGATGCCTGCAACACCGACGAGCAAGAGATCTGTGGCGGAAAAATGATGGCCTGTGAACCTTTTGAGTATACTGTATTGTGATTGCAGAACTGCAAAAACATTGTTGTAAACAGTCCCAAGGCAAAATAACGCGGAGTTGTTGACTTTTCCACACAGGACCGTGTATGTTGATGCAACAACGAATCCTGAGCCAAGGTCAAATGCAGTGGCGGAATGCCTGGAGAAGCAAATCCTTACCTCAGCTCATAGAACCCCACGAGACGGACACCTTGCAAAGAAAGGCCACCGTTGGCAACTTTTTTGCAAAGGACCGGGCTGAAGGAAGTGAGGAACAATTATATGTTGAAAATCAACATGAACACTGAAAGCCTGCAAATGGGGTCAAATTCATAGTATTTGTTGGAGCAGAGTGGTGATCTGCCAAGTGAAACGGATTGTTTTTTGTCGAGGGGAAGATTTCAAAGCACATTAAATCAACAAATATCAATTTGTAGTGGAAACACGAGAGCGTGGGATACATTGATACACAGCAATGGGCGCAACAACCAGGGGGTGTCCAGTTTTAAACGCGAACTCAAAAACAATCAGGGGGGGTCCAGGCCCTGGACCGAGCAGCATTGTTTGCACTATCCCGGAGGGACAACACATTGAATAGGTGGAAGATGCGGGAAAAGGAAACACAAGACCTTGGAACAGGTTTATATAAGAGGTTTGATTTGACCAACCCATTTTCCTTGTTGATGCTGTCGCAAGAATCTTGTTTGCTTAAAGAAAACCTGGTCCCACAAAAGGCTTGAAACCCCTGCCGTGTGTTTGGTTGGGACGCTCCATTGTGTTGCAGATTTGACATTCGGCACCGGAAAGGTTTATCCAGCACAAGCGTACTTCAGAGCCAAAACACGAAGATCACTAGTAACTAGCACCAATTTCCAATACGGTTTGATTAAGACATTTTTCACGACAGTTGGATTTGAATGGATTTGGCTGTGTTTGTCAGGATGCTGTAACGAAAACTGCTTTGCAGGATGAGGACTCCACTCGGTCATCAGTGCGGAGCAGAACACAAGGCACCAGACTTGAACCCACACGTGGTGACGAATTGGTAAAAACTTTTATGACTTCGTGGCACCCAGTTTTGAATTGCTGGCAGCATCCAACCTCACCAAGGCCTTGCCTCACTAGCAATTCAGCCGGCCTTCACGAGTGATTTATAGCTTTAACATGCGGAATCGACCACTTCGCACGAATCTTTCTTTATTGTTCGTGCTTGCCATGCAAGGTGCCGATCCGGTCGTGTCACCGAGAACCGAATCAAGTGCTGCAGTGGAAGTGAACAGCGTTGCTCGGATGGACTTGGAATGGCCACAAAAACCCAATCCAATGTAGACGAAATTGATGTGTTTTAATTACAACTTCTATGGAGGCTGCTTTTGCTCTCCCAGTTCTTGCGTCGGTTGGTGGTCCCAAGGACTTGCTTTGTTCCAGACATGATGGTCAATTAGAGGTTGCCGGGCAGCAAGTTGCAAGTTGACATGGCAGCTTTCAGGTTTCTTGAAGTGATGGCCGCCTTGAGATTCTAAAAGAGTGTTAAGCCTTGATTCACCAAGGTCTTCGACAACTACGAATTCATTTCAGCTGTCGGCAGCGGAGCCTTCGGCCGCGTACTTCGAGCCAAAAACCGTTACGGTGGGCAGATGCGGGCATGCAAGGCAGATCCGGGCGTGGTTGGTGAGAGCATGCGTGTCACCACATTCTCAAAGCGTCGGCCAAAAGTCAAGCTTTTGAAAGAAGCAGGCAAGAGGGACATTGTAATTTTGTGCATTTTTGTTCCTTTTCATTTGGACACGATATTGGCATGGTTCAGGCGCTCACGACAAGTACACCCTTGGAACGAAAGTGCCTTTACCATGAATGGTGGTTGTAATTGTTTTCGTTGGTTGCCAGGGGCCTTCTGTGTGTGCAATGAATTCCAGCAGTAGAACATCTAAACCAAGCTTGAAGGTATTTGGATTCGTGCGCGGGCTGTTTAGAGAGAGAGAGAGAGAGAGAACACACAAAGTTGGACAACGGGATTGAGAGGCATGAGCACTGAGGTTAGTCGACACAGAGATTGCCATCCTGAAGGTGCTGAACCACCCACATGTTTTGCAACTCTATGAAGTCTATTTTGAGCCAAGCATGACAGCTTCCTGCCTAAAGTTTGGGTGACTTGATAAGTGGTGATCCACTCAACCACTTGCAGACCACTCAACCATCAGCTTGCATATCAACAAACGTGCAGAACTTCAAGTTTCAGTGTGTGACGCAGGGTTTGAATGCCGGCCGGCAAAGGATGCAAGAGGATTGGCTACTCTTGTGAACAATGCTGTTTGAAACCCTTGCTGAGGACCGGCGTCGGAAAGTCTATTTGATAACAGAGCTGTGCACTGGAGGGGACTTGCTGCTTAGCTGTCGTGCACGGGGTCTCTGTTCAGCATCACCACAATGTGGGCCTAAAACCAAATTGAGAAGGGTGGCTGCCGTAGCCTTTTCATTTGGTGAATGGCCCTAGGAAAGAGACAACTGCTTTAGATCAGGCCGCGCCCTTTGTTGCTTTAGCATCGGCATTTCAGGCTCTTCCGAATCGCCTATCATTACCAGATGCTGAAGAGTCCGATGACGGAGGGTCATGTTGCCTACCAGCTGCGACAGCTTCTATCTGCAGCTATGTACTGCCACAAACGTGGCTCGGTCAAAGATGAGAGCTCAGGCGCAGGGCCAATGCTTCTACTGCAGGTGGGTCTGTACATGTATGTTTTGTGCTTTTGCCTGCTCGTTAGCCCATGAGTGTGGCAGAAGCCGAGGTGGGATTGTTCACCGGGACAGCCCTGGCCGTAGTTGAGTGTTTGTGAGCGTTTTGTGTTACACAGATTCCATGGAATGAATGCACGTCCGGAAAATAGCTCTTGCACGGTGTGATGCGCCTTGGGTACGAGCAGATCATAGTGGAGATGAAAGTGCCGCAGTGGCCTAGGGCCTAGAAAAAGCCACCATGCTTGCTATTCTCATCAGCCTAGAATCCCAAAACACACAGGCCAAGCACCAGCAGTTCTCTTTCTTCAGATGTGTGTGAATGTATTGGCAGGATGTGAAGCCCGACAACGTGCTTTTCGTGGATGTTTCTCAGCTTGTATCTAGGATATCCTTCACCGGCCATTTCGCCAATGATTTCAAGCAGCAAAGAGTACAGTAAGATATTCAAGAAGCACACTGTCCCAAAACACTTGTCCCAACACTTGACACTCTTTTGGTCGTTGGAACAAAACAAGGGGTCCTATTTTTGGGACTCTGTTTTGTTTGGCACGAGTTTTGCAAAAGCAACACGTTTGCAATGGAACGCCAGAGACGACAGCCTCGTCAGTCCGAGGCAACGGCCTCGTCCCCGCTGAAGCTGATCGACTTTGGTCTGGCGGGCTTCGCGCAGCAGCTGCGAGAGAACGCCATAGAGGTCGGTTTTGGTCTGATGCCAAAATGCCGGAGAGTTTCAAAGGCTAGAAAGGATTACAGTATAGAGAATGGGAAGATGCCAGGCCGCCAGACCTTGATTGGTTTCAATCATGTCGGCTGAACTCAAGATGGAGTTGTTTGGGTTGAAGTGAAGTGAAAGAGCTTCCATGACTGAAGCTGACGTGAGCAAGTGGGACCGGAGAAACACTGCCGCTCCTGCCACGGCTTCGGGCAGGTGTCGATGCCCAGAAGCAAGTCTCTCGGACGTTTGGCCAAGATTCTGCCTCGTGTTGGAGCACGTTGGTTTCATGCACCTTGCCACCATTGGACTTAGGCTCCTTGCACCATTTGTTCCGTAGAACGATCGACAAACACTGAGGTGCGAAAACAAATGATGCAGCGCGCCGGGACGGCCTTCTACATGGCGCCAGAGATGATCAATGCAGGTGTGTACGACCAGAAAGTAGATGCTCACCTGTGCCCAGCATGACCTGTGTACACTGCACGGTCTTATACCACGGCCGTATTCGCTGTGTCCAGGTGTTGAGCACGCCTTTTGAAACCGAGAACCGTGCAAAGACACTGTACTGCACAGATTGCCGCGCAGCCAAGGACATGTTCAGCATAGGAGCCATCATGTGCGAGATGCTCACTGGCTGGCACCCCTTCTACACTCCAAATGTGGATGATGCACAGTCCGTGCAGGTGCGTCATTTTTCAACATCAGCTTGCAAACCTCCTCTCCGACAGCACTTCTGCTCTCCGAGTCAGTGTGTTGCATGTCTTGCAGGCAAAGATTGTTTTACCCAAACCGGAAACTCGGCGTCCTTTAGAGCTCGTGATTTATTTTGATGCATGGTTAACGATGTGCCAAGGGCGACGGAGCTGTGAATTTTTCCGCCGATGTATTGAAAGTTGTGAGATGTGGGCTCATGTTTTTGTAGTCAGCTTAGGTGGTACTGCCAGATGATGTGTTTTGTGCTTTGGTTGCATGAACATTTGCCTGTTTGGCTTCATGTGTGATGTCTGTTTTGGAAACCTAGACTGGCCAAGGTAACATCTCAGAGGAAGCATGCGATGTTTGCCAGAAATTGCTAGAGATTCTTGGCCGCAGAGGTAACCCCAAATGCCATGTACGGAACAGGCGAGAGAGCCCTGTGAGTATTCTTCATCACGAGGAAAGATCCAGCCCGACGACTCAGCGCAGAGCAGGAGCGACGAGTTGAGCGACCGGATGGACTGACAGATGCGCATGCTGAGATGCCTTTTTGACACTCCGTCGGAGAGGCCTTGCAGCATGCCTTTTTTCATCAATCCCGATATGCCTACACCGTATGGTTTCTTGGCTGAAAATCCCTGGTTACCATATGTTGAGTGAAGCCGTTGGCGTTCAGGCAATACCAACACTGGTGTCCTGAATGGGCAAGTCTTTGAAGGCCTGGCAGCCTAGCAGACTTGACGAATTGGGTGTGATGAGTCGCCTTTCTTCGGGGGTTGTGTGCGGGAAGGCCTCAAGCAGTATGCCTCCTACAACAAATTGCGGCGGGCTTCGTTGCAGTTGTTAGCGCAGGAAGCGGAGTGGTCTGGATTAATTGTGAATGCTATGAAATGCCCTGCATGATTGGTGGGTGAACTTGTCACCTGCAGGAGCTCGGAGAGGAGCAAGTGCAGGACCATAGAGATTCCAATGGCAGCTTGGGCCGGTAGCTTGACCTGCCCCCAGAATCGCAAACAGACACAGCGGGTTTTGCATCCTTGAAGCTAGAATCTGGCCGTCATTTTCAATGACCGGTTGAGCGGAGACCCCGAACCTCAACCACGAAGAGTCAACCTCTGCGAATGTACGTCTCCCAGGGCAGAGTCTGGCCGTGACGTCGCTCTGCATCTGCAGGAGCTGCGAGACGTGTTTCTGGCCATGGACTCAGGGGACGGTCAACTGGATGTGGAGGAGCTTCGAGAGGCCGCCCGAAAGGTAGCCTCTTGGTGCAGATCGTGGGTTGGGGGTTTAAGGTGGCCGCTTCTCAAAAAAGGTTGACACACACAACGCGCGTGTCTCTCTTTTTTTTTTGGGGGGGCTGGTGGATGAACAAGGAAAGTGCGAGGAGCTGACCAAGTTGGGGCAAGTGAAAGGAGACGAGAAGTACACTCCATTTTAACTAGGATCTGGATGTATCTGGCACGGCTATTTTTGGCGCTGATCAACACCTTGGCACTCTCAGACTTGCCTTAGACTTCCGTCCCCCAGCTGGTTTTGCCTAGCTGACCTGAGATCCATCTAGATGCTGTTTTGATTGCGCATCTAATGTAGAGGAAGCACTTCAAATTAGTCCCAATGTGGCCGTCTTTGCACCAAAAAGGGGCAAGTGCTGAATGTTTATGTGCATTTCACGAAGGAGCTGCTCCGAAGTGTTGCTCCGAAGGTTTTGTCATTTCCAATGCCAACTCCAATCTGAGGACTTCACCTTGAGCCCTGAAGAAGCTACTGAGTTGATTGCTGCCTTAGGCGGGCCGTCTTCCCAGATGGCTGGCTATCGGGAGACTCTTTGGTGGCACTGGAGAGAACATTTCATGCTCCTTGAAATTTTTTGCATGCCCTCTTGGGGCGTTTCTGTATTCATTGTCCACCCAGGTTCATTGCTGCTGCTGGCAGCAGCTGCTCGGAGTGTTTCCATGATGTAGTATGTAGAACTGTGGATCTGTTTGTAGTTTGGCGGTCGCAGCCACGCCATTGTGCTCAACGGTCGCACCTGGTTCAGCTGATGCTTTGAGGTCAAGTGCAGTATACCTTTGCGCAGCTGAAGCGCTGCTTTGAGAAGCTGAGCAACTTTGAGAAGTGGAAGGGCTCGGAAGTTTGTCAAGACGGTCGTGTGAGGGATCCAGACAGACCCCGCGGACATTGCAGTAGTAGTCAAATGATTCACAATGCCCTTGTCTCCTTTCGCTTGCGCAAGGTACTAGCGGTGTCATCCGCTTCCAGGACATGCCACATCTTTTTTCTCATAGTATCTCAGAGTCGGAGTGGGAGGACATCATCAAGCATCCTGGCGCAAGTTCGGTGTGAGTTCCGCACGGCACGTCCTCTCCGCACCAGACACGATGCAAACGACCCGACGCAGTACTTCCAGTCTGCAAGGTCGACCCGTACAGCAGATCGTGAGGAGTCTCCGACGGCGAAATCCACAATTAGCCGTACGGAATGCAATGAGAGGGGGAGTCGTGATGTGGGAGCCATGAGAGTTTTTAAGAGAGGTCCATGGAGAACCGGCAAACACTTAGAGGGGACCCGCATGTCCAGAACCTAGGCCTGGACAAATTTATGTCCATGATGCAATGCCCACTTCAAGAGGGAGAGGCGCCGTGTGCCTGTCTTTGGCTTGCAGGCAGTGCTGGCATCCTGGGCATTTCATTCTTGTATTCTCGTTAGGCAACCCTGCCGACCTCAAGCTCACCTTTGCATGTTCACGGGGAGGATCCCAAGCAAGCTGGCTCTCCTGTGAGACTTGGTTTATATAACTGTGCACAAGAATTTGGATTCCTCTTATGCTCCCTGCTGCCGAAGTTGAACATGATCAGAATGCCAGCCAAGCTCCGGCTTTTTACACAAGCCTGCAGGCTGAGTTGAAGAGTTGCAAGCGCAGTGAGAAACGGAGGTGATTCACGTGGTGTCTAGGGATGGTATATATATATATATACCACTAGCTACTAGCTAGGCAATCCTTTTGGGGAACGTGGTCCCATTGTGTTTTCTGTGAGATGTTGCTGGACGAAGTAACTACCTCATCACATTGTTTGGTGGTGTCCATGTCGAGAGGGCGCCAAGAGGTGTTGAGATCCTGACAATTCAAGCGCAGCAAATACCAGCCTTTTGCAAGCCCAACGCCTTTGGTAGCTCCGCGGATGGCAAATGTTGCCAGGGACCACGTGCTTGTAGCGCATAACACATCAAAATTATCGTTGACTTCGCTGGAAGACGTCGTTCAACGCCCCAGAAAGATGTCCTTACAGCTCGAGCGTAGTCCACACAACTATGTCGAAACTTGAGCAGTAGGTGTCACAGAACAATTGCATTACTGTGGGACAAGCTCACTGTGAGCTCGTGCAGAAGATGTAGAAGAAGTAGGTAGCTGGATATCCCTTCACCGAAACCGTCGGTGCAATCCGAAAGGTCGCCGGTGTTCGTTCCTCTCTGCCAGGTGCCCCAACAAGCCAAACATCCACCGACAAGCACAAAGAAAAGGTCGCCAATTGCAGCGGAAGAGCCCATCAATACACATTGCAAAGTGTGCAACGCACACTCCGGTGTTGCTTTCCTTCTCCGGTGTTGAGTGAACACTTGAACCATTGGACGATGGGGGTTGAATCAGGGGGTCTCGATGTTTGCGGTGTGTCTCATTTGAGCATGATGCTTGGACTGGACTTGAGCATGATGCAACGCCAAGGAAGTTCTGGCAGCGCATCGTGGCGACAATGAGTGATCTTTTGATTCAGGACAAGAAGATGCCAATGCAAATGCACCTTCTCAACCTTTCACCTTACCTCTAGAGACAGATATACGGAAAAGGAATAGACCGCCTGACAGAAGGTTTCTTGCGCTTGGCCATTGGTTGTTTGGTATGTGCAGCATCCTAGGTTGTACTGAGCCACTCTGCTGGCTCACTGAGTGACAGTGACTTAGTTCGGCATTTTTTTCAGCAGCTCAGCCCCTGGACCAGCCAAGCCTTTTGAGATGTCAAAGTTGTTATTGTTGAAGAGTTTTTGATGCATCGGAATTAGCAATCCTTTTGGCTGTCCGGATCCGAGCAACAGTTCACAGGATGCAGGAATCCATTTGTGTGGATTCACTGACCATGATGCAAAGGCTTAGGGCCCCTAAGCTGAAGGGGCAAACACCCAGGCTCAGTGAATATGTTCCTGTGAATTTGAGCCCGGGCTGCCACCACGATGAGCTGCCATTTTCCTCGCAAGCCAGGCCAGGAGGCCAGCTTTGCCGCCAAGCTGGCCTGAACCAGTCAGTCAATGCAAGTTCAAGTTATTGAGAGCAAGACGGAGGAATCGACATTGCCAGCTCCGGCATACTGACGCACACATATACACAGGTGCATCTTGCCAGGCTGTTCCTATGAGTTTCAATTAGAGCTGGTTAGTCAGCCTGGCCTCAGCGACCATTCGGCAATGCTACGCCTTAGCTAGAGCACTTCTCAGCTTTGTTGCGTTGAGCTGTCAGACCGATGCAGACCAACCCTGTTCAACTCCACATGCCTAGTCGAACCGACGCAACAGAAGGCAAATCGGTCGGCTCAATTGTGACAAGGCCTTTGCCGAGCGAGCTTCCAAGGCTTACAGGCAATTGACTTTTGAGGTTTGCAGTGGGAGAGTCGAAGCCTGCTCCCACAGGAACAATCGTAGCATTCATGCTTTGGACTTGCTTGAAATCGACGGCTTTGGCTGAGTTCTGTGTTTGGAGAATTGCCATTGAAGAAAAGACTGGTTTGCTGCTGTTTTCTTGCAGGTCCTAGGCCGTCGGGTTGGAGTAATTCGATTCAGCTCTGTGCCAACTTTGGCTTAGGCGCTGATTAGGCACTGAACCCTGCAAAATCGCAGGGCACCGGGCATGATAGGTCTCCAATCCTAGCTGAGAGCGGGAAGCATTGGATGCACAATTCTTGGATCATGTCCCAAAATTGTAAGCTCTTCAAATTTGGCAGGTTTGTCTTTCGTGCCCGGAATTGATTTGCAAGGACGGCAGCCTGTGAATCCACCTGATACGACCTCTTCAGGTGGGAGGGGCTGCCTGATTTCCGACCTGGTCTGGGCGTTGTTGCTTCCAGCAGACCACCAGGACAGCCCTACAATGGCCCTACAACAGGGAGTTCTGCTGAAATTGTCGCCTGGTTTCACGAGGCTTTGGGGCGTCTGGAGCTGATGCTTCTGAAAACACGCCGCAGAGTGGTCAAGACGTCCGCTTTGACGGGCTTCATGGGAAGTGTCAGGTTTTGAAGTGCATTCCGAGCTAGGTCGATTGGGTGCATTTCTTTTGTGGATTGAAGTTATAGACAGAATTGGAACAACGCACCAATTGCGCATGGCACAGGCTTGTCATTGGGTTCCTCATGCACGCTCGAAATGCGTCGAGTCTGGGCACGAGTTGCTAAGATCTCAGGTTTTTGGGGTCTGAGCAGCTTCAAGGCTTGATCGGCCTTGATCGGCCTGGACGATTTTCACAGCCACAAGGCCAAGTTGGGCGAGCCTCGCTTTGTGAGGAACCTCGCAGAGATGAGGTTCCTGCCCCACAGTCCATGCAGGAGACAATCAGAGGATGGATGAGGATCAGTTCTTCTCTGCCCACTCATGGAATGGACTTGCTATATGCAAAAGACTATTTTATTGGAACACCCTGGTGACTCTTGTACTGGCACTGCTTAGATACAGGTTTCGAGTGCTTGGTGGCCTCAAGTGCCACGAAGCATCGTCCAGTGCGACCAATAATGAAAAAAAGCACGTTCTTCCACCTGCTTGAACGAAATTGACTCCTAGCAGAACGCAGCCGAGCAGATGGAAGACTCCACTCTAGCAGAACGCAGCCCTAACTCCATGGCTCCTAGATGGAGGCACGACCACTCCTTCTGGATTTCGCGTGCTGAAGGGCCCAAGACAGACAGATAGACAGACAGACAGACACAGAGAGAGAGAGAGAACCGTGGATGGATGGATCGATAGATAGATACCAGAAATAGATAAATAGATGGATAGATGTACATGCACTCGTCAGATGTCAAGGATGCCCATGGGAACAGAAGATGTGTTCAAACTATGGGGGTGTCTGCAATGCATGACAGTTTTGCTTGCATAAGATTGTGATGTGCATTCTCGGCCCAAGCCAGCGGGCAGAAAGAACATGGCCCACATTATCATCAGTTCAAAAGCCAGGCAGTCCAGCCATTCAGTGGACTTGGGCCAGCGCGGAAGCTAGCAGCTAGCCGTCAATTTGAAGCCGCTACATGACAAACACACACACACACAGATATATATATATATATAGGTAGGTATGCATTTAGCAATATATATATATACAATGTTTAAGAACTGGCTGCCTGTTCTTATTTATCGCCCGCGATGGGCATTATGACCTGATTGGCCGGCCGCTGGGCTGGGCTTTAAGAACGAACTCGCTGTGGCCAACTTGTGCTTGTGCTCCTCCACCCTCCAATGTGTCTCTCATCAACCAAGCCCGCACCTTCCCCAATGGCTTGAGGTGTGCCAGGCTCCTTGAAGGATGCTTGGCATTCTGGAGAAGCTGAGCCCACAGGACTGGCCATGATCCATCCCTCCTTACCTGAATGGCGTCTCCTCAGTCAAGAGGGAGCAGAAATTTGAGAACACCACACATATTGGAAAGTCACCCGTCCCTACAAAAAGGAGACTACTGAATACTACAGCAGGGGTGCACTGGAACCCTTTGGTGTTAGGATCTTGCCGCACTCGGCGTGCTGGCCCTTGCCCTTGTGACATGCCTAGTTCCTTGACTGCATGGGGTTGGCACCCAATGCTGACGTTGCATTTACGGAGGAAAGCAATCCGATGGTGCCTCTCAGGTTTGTTTTCCTTGCTACTTGGCTTTCGTCGCATTGACCGGCTGTGGTCCCGCCAGGGTGCAAAGACACTTAGCTGAACGTGTGAGAATCAAGTTAGACACTTTTGACATTCGATGGTCTGAGCTGCTGCCCGTTGTGATCTCAGGGCCACTTGGGCCTCTTGCAAGCTGAGGTGTTTGCTCGTACATCCTGCGCTTGGCAAAGCGAAGGTCGAAGTTCAACTATCACAAGGCCTTTTTTACATAAAGTGCTTCCAAAATGATACAACAGTGACGGCTGAGTAGCACCAGCTCACTGACAATTAGCTATATAAATGATTGCCAGAATTCTTTTGGCTTGATTGCAAGCCATGGGTGGGGATTGAACCTGACAACATTGCGCCCCGCAGATTGACAATCATTTGTATCTTGGGAGCTGCTCAGAGTGGATTTCAGTATGCCCCACTTCAATGCTCGTTCCAGACATTCTAGCAGCTGCAACTTCGAGCACATTGCAACCCAGCTCCTCTAAGGCTTGCCTAGGACAATGGAAGACTTGGAGGAATTGAAGTCCCTCGGGGTAGGAGCCATGGCTGCTCGGCCACAAAGATGCCAGTGAAAGATTTACACATCGCTGGTGCAAGCTGCTGATATGCGTTGCAATGAATGAATTGAACACGTCAAATGGAAGAGTGCAGAAAGCAGTTGACCAAGGTCACTCTGAATGAGGCTTGGGAGATGGAGCTCTCCAATAAATTCGTGAGGTGGGTCACACACCCACACACCCACACTTGGAGACAGTTGCAGGTTCCATAGCAAGCAAACCGCTTGGCGGGCATCTCCAATATCAAATGGGTATATTAATTAATGTAGTCTTCAGAGAACACTTTCTCTTGGAGAGACAATGATTCAACGTCTTCAGGGATAGCTGCGGCATTGAGCACTTGCACTTGCCAACCCCAGACTTCTTTGCGCCCAAGCAGGAGGATATCGAGGTGGGGCGTCGGATAGTCTTAAGCCCCCCTTGGCATTTGGTGGGCCACAGCCTAAAAAATCGCCTGAAGGATCCCAAACATTAGTTTTCTGCATCTTCCTCCCAAACCTGCTTTTTGCATGCTCTTGCTGTGAGGCTGCGGTCCACTTCATCACGGCCCACGTCCGAAAAGGCTGAGCAAAACAGCGGTGCCGGTGGTGACACACGGCAAGCTTCGGGCTTCGTCGACGCCAGGAATCGGTGTCTACGTCCACTGCAATGGTGGAAAGGGCCGCAGTGCGGTTTGTGTGATTTGCTTTCTGGCAAGTTTCTTGGTGACAAACATGTCTTGTTGGTTCAGACGATAACCCTACGTCCTATGTCTTTTTCATGGCCCTACGTCCTATGTACTAGGAAATCCTGTCCTGAGGCTTCATGGACCTGAGCCCCGAATTGGCCTATGACCGGGTGATCTCCAAGCGTCGCATCGTGGGGGTCTTCCCAGAACTGGTGGCCTTCGCTGGCTGGAAATCCAGCAGAGATCGGATGTTGGAGAAGATCGAGGGAACCTAAGAGAGTCACAAAAAGGGGTCCTTCCGCCTTTCCTTTTTCCGTTTTGCGTTGTCTCTAAAGACTCTTGTAGTCAGCTTATGTCGGGTCCTTTGAATCCTCAGCACTTGGTCGGGATTGCCCCACTCACAGGAACCACTGATTCACGTCGTGTTCTTGTGTGCCCTGTCGAGGCACCGATGCGTGGAGTTTTGGGTCTGCATAAGCAGCCACTTGGTCATACACAGCCAAAAGCACCGCCACGTCTGATGTCACCGCCACGAGTGGTGACTCCGGTCGTTGACGCCTTTTTGTGCAAGTGAAACGCCCCCGCCTGGATCCAAGGTGGCGTGCCGTGAAGCGCTTCTGCCGTCGGGTTTCTAGGACTGGTGGCATGTTCGCCCATTTTTTAGCACGACAAAAGGCCAGTGCAACGTATGTCCCCCCGCTCTTGATGGGGACTTTTGCGAATCCCCCATGTCATTATGAAGGAACTGAATGAACATTGCTGTGAAAGACAGTGTTCTTAATCTTCGCCCTGCATTTTCTCAGGATGCCGAAGCGCTTTGAAGCCTTCGCCGAGGAGTCCCCGGTGTGTGACTTGTCCAAGAACCCCCAGCGACAGCTCGTGCTTCAATTGTGGTATAGAGATATAGGAATGTGCAAATGAAGCGGCTAGCCACCGAGCTTGGCCGCTGAGAACCTGCTCCTGGCATTGGGTTGTGTGCTCGCCTTTAGCTAACGGCTAAACTCTTGAGAGGGCGATGGAGAAGAAGATATAGGAATGGGACTGGGATCTTCATCACTCTAGCCGGTCTGTGGTTTAGGCCAATGACACCAGTTGCATTATCAGTGACCACCCGAGGTCAAGAAGTCACTGCAAAACCGCAAGAATTGGCCACAGCCGGCAAGCTCAGAGTATGCTTCGCAGCCCGTCCACGCGAACAAAGCCTGGAAGGATGCTTCTACTGTATATGTTTGTGACCCCTAAGACCTGGCGAACTCCTAAAGCAACTCTGTTCGGGTTTGACAAAAGATCGAGAGAGAGAGAGAGCTAGCAATAACAAGTCTGGATTAAGAAGCTTGTTGTTGGAAGTTTCGCTCTGGTTTCTCCTCAGTGCTCGACGAAGATTTACAGTACTATCGAAGTTATACTGACTTGGTGAGGTGCATGTAGCAGATAGCCTGCCCCATGATGAGCCGTCCTTGTCTCAGAACAACAAACGTCCGTTCCAACGGCTCAGCGGAGTTGCGAGCTTTGCGGCTTTGCCTGGACTTTTGGGACCAAGATGGTACCAACCTTGCTGAAAGCGGGATGGCTGGACACGTGGGAGATGGTGTTTTCAAGGTTTTACGCCATGACATCGTTCCAACTGTTGCACAAAGCTGTATATAACATGGCTTCACTTTTTGCGCGGTTTTCCTTCGAAGGCCACTTCCAAGAAAAGACGCGGAGCATGTTCCAGTTCCAGCTGCCTCAACAGGTGGGGCTTGCGTTGCAAGCTGCAAGCCGCCCATTGCAAGCCTCACAAACAATTGTCACGCTGCCTGCCAACAGAAAGTGAGGTTTGAATACTGAAGAGGGCATGCTTGATTGCGCAGGTGAAGCAACCACTGATGGCTTGCCACCGGTCTGGCTCTCAGGGTTTAGTGACGACGGTGGAGCAATCCAGTTTTGTTCACGGGAGCGCCGGCCTTGGACCTTGGGCGAGGAGCTGCATGCGCCAGTACATGCACCCCCGCCTGCTTTGAACGTGCCTCCTGAGCCAACTCAGCCACCCTGTGTGGAGCACTAAGTCGGGATTCCAGTGCCATGCATTGGCACTCTCAGAGGAAGTCTTGAGCCGATCTTGAGTACTTCAGAGCCTGCAAACCAATGCTGTCCGAGAGGCTCAGTAATTACTCAAAATCAGCTCTGAAAAAGACATATACTAGACGACGAGTGGCCCGAAAGCATTTTTCATCACGTAGGAAGTCAGAGTGCGAGTTATCTGTTAAGTGTGCAGTGTGAAGTGTTAAGTCGAGTGAGTTGAGGTAGTGTGTGGGTTTCTGTGTGTGTATCTATGTCCGTGTGTATATAAGTCTGCGTATGTGTGTGTGTTCGTGTAAGTTAAGGCAGTGCGTGGGTGTTTGTGTGTGATGCGGCCTCCCAAACCCCCCACCGGCGGCCAAGCGGTGACAGCCCAGCTCATCGTCATGAGCATTTGAGCTGCTGGTAAGGGGAGAAGCAGCGTGCACGGCGCCAGGAAAAGCTCACGGAAAAAACGAACCGGAACGAGGACAGAAAAGTGCCGAGGCAGGTGCGCCAGAAGTGTCTCGAAGCAGTGACCTGTCAGAGGAGATGAACGAAGTAGCGCGCAGGCCTCCCAAACCCCCACTGGCGGCCAAGCGGTGACAGCTCCACAGATTGCTCCGCGTACTCAACTTGTACTACCTAGTCGCCAGTTCTCATCTTCCAGCTCCCCGGCTACGCGTACTAAAGTTGTACTACCAGTCATTGTACTACCAAGTCACCAGTTCTCATCTGGCCACTCCCCAGATACTCCGCGTACTACAGTTGTACTACAAAGTCGCCAGTGCTCATCTTCCATCTTCCTAGACACTCCGCGTACTCAAGTTGTACTACCCACTCGCCAGTTCTCATCTTCCCACTCCCCAGCTACTCCGCGTACTAAAGTTGTACTACCAAGTCGCCAGTTCTCAGCTTCCAGCTCCCCAGCTACTCCGCGTACTGAAGTTGTGCCACGAAGTCGCCAGTTCTCAGCTTCCAGCTCCACAGCTTGCTCCGCCGCTAAACCTATCGCACTCTGGCCTGCATTTCGTGCACTCGACACGCACGATCTCCGCAGAGGGTCGCGTGGTCATTTCACACTTCGCGCTCTCGCCTGCATTTCGCGCACTCGACACGCACGATCTCCGCAGAGGGTCGCGCGATCATTTCACACATCGCGCTCTCGCCTGCATTTCGGGCACTCGACACACACGATCTCCGCAGAGGGTTGCGCGGTAATTTCACAAATTGCGCTCTCGCCTGCATTTCGCGCACTCGACACGCACGATCTCCGCAGAGGGTTGCGTGGGCAGCCGGTGAATCGCACTCTCGCCTGCATTTCGCGCACTCGACACGCACGATCTCCGCAGAGGGCTGCGCGCGCAGCCGGCAAATCGCACTCTCGCCTGCACTTCGCGCACTCGACACGCACGATCTCCGCAGAGGGTTGCGCGCGCAGCCGGCAAATCGCACTCTCGCCTGCTTTTCGCGCACTCGACACGCGCGATCTCCGCAGAGGGTTGCGCGCGCAGCCGGCAAATCGCACTCTCGCCTGCATTTCGCGCACTCGACACGCACGATCTCCGCAGAGGGTTGCACTTTCGGTTGACGCTGTTCGTCCCACCCTCCGCCTTTAAGAGAGAATTTATAAAGTGGGGAAATGTTTTTTCATTAGGACATCTCCCGTGCTAGTTTTCCACACTCACACTTGCCTACTCAGTGCATGCTTGCATACTCACTGCGTGCTTGCAACTCATCACTTGCATACTTACACTTGCGTACTTCCACTTGCATACTTTGACACTTGCATTGCACACTTTGCACTTCACTGCTTTTGCCCTTCCACTTACACAGGGCTACGTATAGCGTTCATGTTGTCCTGCAAGTGTGGTGAAAGTGTCAATGTCTAAGTGTAAGTGTCGAAGTGTCAGTGTTCAAAGGATTTTCCGGAAGAACCCTTCGCAATGCTTTCGGGAATATATATATATATATTTGGTAATTGTTCCGGGCCGGGCTATATGCTTGGGTTGAAAACGTTGAGAAATGATTAAAATGTTTTCCACAAGGTTTCAAATGCACGCCGAGTTTGAGACATGTCCGCGTGCATTCCGCATCTTGGCATGTCTCACTTTGTCAGGTGCCGCAGTGCAACCACTACGAGGAGAGGTTTGAAGCTGAGGCCAGCTCTGACTCTGATGAGGCACGGGTGGCTTAGTGAGGCTCAGTGACTTAGTGGGCTTGGTGGCTGTGTAGTTTGAGGGTTATTCAATTGTCGAAGCAAACTTCAGGGCTCATGGCCAGAGAGTTGCTGTGGACAGGAGCCTCCATTACTGGAGTAGATTTGTGAGAGGAGTCTGCCACTGGTGCCTTGGGATAGTTCTTGAGGAAGAACCTTCCACTGGGCAAATTTCATAGTCTTATGGCCAGTTGCCCCGGCTGCCCGGCTGCTGGAGTTCATTTCGCAATGCAAGTGTGTCAACGACACGTCTTTGCGTGCGCGATATTCCTTGTGTTGCCCCGTGACCTGAGGGTAACCCAGCGTGTGTGAGGTCTGTTAATACATCGAGGAGTTTTCACACACCATTAGCGTTTTCAAGTCGAGGTTGAAGAGTCGAACATGTTGGCATCGTTTCCCCCTCAGTGGTTGCTACAACTTCGTGCTGCCGTTCATGGCCAAGCCAGAGGCAGTACAGCAACCCAAGGGGCGTCAATCCCCGAGGATGCGCAGTCTTCAGTCTTCCCTGCTTGCTTCGCAAGGGAAGCACCTCAATTGGCACTTGAGCCTTTGGAAGGGTGGAGTCAGTGGAGTTCTCCTTGGAACAGGACAGGTGTCAACCGGTCATGATAGGTGACTGGCTAAGTCACGGTACTCACCAGGTCGCCAAGTGCCAAGAGGTGGGCCTCATGCCTCCATGCCTCGGTGGTTTGGAGAAGCCCCGCCATGGCGCCTCGGTGGAGTCAGCCAATCCGGCTGAATCTTACCAAATATATACATGCATGCATGCATACATACAAATATATATATATGTATATATAAGTCAAAGTGAATCTGACCACGAAATACCCCCGATGGCAGCCTGGCAAGAGTGCTTGCTTCAAGAACGTGTGCAAAAAAGATGTGCTGGGCGAAGCCGGGTTGCGTGTCTGTCCGTCGTGCTTTTTGAGGCTTGGCATTGGGTGCATTTATTTTTTGAATAGAGTTTTGGTTTATGAGGTGTGTCAAACAGTTGCCTCCTCCACATGTTTTGCGGATGCTGCTTGGATCAAGTTTTTTGTTTTGTTTTGGTGTTGAGTCGCCTGCTTTCAGTTGGGCGAAGATGTCGTTGTCGAGGACGTTGGGACGTAACGTTCGACGTACAATTGGAGTCTGATCTAAATGGCTTCCACTGGGACTCCGTGCTAGATCTGGATGGGGGAGAGAATGGCAGTGATTCCCACACATCCCCCATCCCCAAGTCTTGATTGGGTTTCTCTTCGAGCACATGCTGCAAAGCACCTGTCTGCGGATGGCTTGTGCAGGATGCTGCGCCCTTCCGCCAGGCTGTCACGCCGTTTCTTGAACCTTGGCTACCAATGCAATCTTTCTCATGATCTATGAGCGTCGACTTTTAAACTGGGGGCCTGTGTCACAGGCACGGCATTCAAAAAAGAGACCATGCGCTCACACATGCATACGCACACAGAGAGATTCACTACTGTATGTTTGCACACGTTCTTGTCACATGTAGTACCTTTGCAAGATAAACGTGCATGTTTGTGTGCACTTTGTTCTTGGTCTGTTAGACTGGATATCTTGGGCAAGAAGGGGCTTGAGTCGGCTTGAGATGCAGAGCCAAGGAGCATGCCTGGCGCGAGGCGAACACATACAGATATCATTGGAATTGACCTGGGAACCACAAACTCATGCGCCTTTGGAATCATTGGATTGGCTTATCTTGCAGGTTTTTTGACGTATGATCACGACCATGGTGATCATCTTCAGGATACACACAGCTGTATTGAAGATTCCCCCAATAGTGTGGGGATTCTTCCGGTAGGTGGTAAGGCTGGGTTTGATCGAGGGTGCTCACATCGGTCGCCGGCTAATTCGCTGCCAGTTGCAGCACATTCACGCCTCTCGAGATCTTCGAAGTGCATTTTCGACCGCGCAGGCTATCGCAGGCTCGCACAAACCTTCCGCCGTAAGAGAGTGCTTGCCTCGACTGCTCTCTCTTTGTGGTGCAGTGCACGTTTTCGGACTGGGTGGTCCCTTTTCGTGTCAGGCGCAGGGAACACTCGTGTTCTGGTGCTCTTCGTGGCAGGTGCAGCGCTTTGGACATATGAAGGTGAAGCTTGGCAGAGGTCTTCCGAGATAGGCCGCACTGATGGACCAGTTTGCTGGAAAATCCGCCCGCCACATGGAGCTCAAGATTTAACAGTCCGTGATAGTGAACAGCCCTCAGCCTATCAGGTCCATCATCCAACCGGCCGAATTTTAAAACTGCGCTTACAAGAGATGTCGTTGCCCATCCAAATGCTGTGAACGGAGGGAGCCATCCATTTGCAGAATCACTCATATTTCACTCACCAAGCACTCGTTTTTCAAACAAAATCCATGCTGCTCAAAATCACAATCTTTGAGTGCATTCATCATCACAAAGCATCCTGTGGCCTTGGCATATAGCAGATATTGCGACAACGTGGAGATTGGAACTGGAGAGCGTGGGGGGCGGTAGAGCCTGCAGTCAGTAGAGCCAGTCCCACAGCATAGGCCTGCACTCAGGTCCAGAAGTTTTTGCCAAGCTGAACTTTTGGTGGGCACCGTAGAGGGCCCAACTTTTGGCCCGCTTTGGCCGTTGCTGCTCAATTTTACGTTTGGGCTCCAATATTAACAGGACTCTCTGTAAGATTTTTGCGTTGCAGTTTTGGCAAAAGAAGACAATGCGAGCGTCTTCAACATGGATGCTTTCCATCCCAAATAATTCAAGCTCATTGGAAAACTGTTCACTTGGTAACCAAGCTCATACTCATACTCCATTGAAAACTGAGCAGGTGTACTGGTCGGCAAAGGGCCTGGCAGCAAGCCTGTTTTGGGGACTTGAACAGATGGACCCAACGCAGGCATGTGGGTTGAATTGAACAGTGCATTTGTGGAGCTTTGAGATTGTTCTACTTGGTCAACTGGCTGAACCAAGCTGGAGTTCATATTGCCATGGCGCCTTTGCGATAGAAGTTAATGATAAAACCGGTGGGTTTCAGAACCGTTGTATGATCTATCATGTCAAGAAGGTTGGAATTCAACTACTGTTGAGTTTGAAGAGGAGTTTGCGAAAACGCCGCGTCATGTTCTGCCGTGGTTGCAAGCCCAAGATCAAACACAGCTGTCAACGACCCACCCCAATTATTGGGCGGGTTCGGAGCAACAGCCTTTGAACGATCTCTAAAGGTCTTTTGCTGTGATTGTTCTTTAGATGCCAGCGGCCAAACGCATTAGCGCATCTGCGATTGCCAGTGAAAAGCAGTCCAACCAAGACAGGATGCCCGCAAATCTATGTTGCAGGATCCGGCAATAGCATTGGAACGTGGGAACATAAGCAATGATCATTCCCACAAGACCAGGAGACCTCGTGAAGACGTGACAAGAGCAAGGATGGCGAACGGCTGTGAGCGTCCATGTGCAGATTTCGTGGCGCTTTGTGAACGTCTATGTGCAGATTCGGGGCACGCAGTACTTGGTGAACGTCCATGTGTGGATTTTTCGTGGCAGACCCAGTACTTTGTGAAGACTCATGTGCAGATTTCATGGCAGGCGCAGCGCTTTGTAAACCTCAAAGCACGGGCATCATTTTGTGAAGCTCGAAGTGCAACATATGTGCTCTCATGCTGTGAGTTCCGGCATGTATTCTCATGCATGTGTGCTCCCATGTGTGTGCTCCTCTATATTTGTGCTCCCGTTGTGCTCGCATATGTGTGCTCAAGAGAGTGCGGAGGTTTGCTTATTCCCTATGTTTTGTTTACAGCAACACGGTTTTGTTTTTTTTCTTTGGGGTTCCTTTCCCTTCTGTCTACTGTGAAGCTGAAGCTTTGAGCTGTGAGGTGTTGCAATTATGGAGGGCAGCACGCCCAAGGTCATTGAAAATAGTGTCTTGGATTTATGTATGGTATCACCACAAGAGGTTGCGACAGATCACTTGCAAACCGGGCAACTCGTGATGAACCAGAGGATGTGTTTATGCACACTTGAAACTTGCAGCAGCTTGCAAGTTTTGCCAAATCTTCATCTCAGTTGCAACGGCGGCTCCTGCAATTTGAGTGACTTATTGTTGCTCATTTCAACACGAATGATCAACGCCTTCACTTCGCAATACCTTCAACCCACAACGACCAACCACCCCAACCACATTACCACATTGCGGACATGGAGCGTGGGTGACTCACACTTTCATCCTGGCCCCCCCCTCCCCACGAAGTGTGTGAGTGTGTTGCCTAGTTTTAGGAACATGGCCAACTAAGACCATCATGCGCCTCGTTTATCGCGTTCGCTTACTATAATTCATCAGGAAGGGCAAACCATCAACGAACAGTCCCAACAGCTGGAACCAAAACGGGTGAAATCTCCCTGCACAAGTGCCACAGCACAAAAGGGCGTGGCCTCACTGAAGAACCCCTGCAGTGAGAAGGTCAGACACGAGGTGAGTAAAGAGACTGGACAAGACGGAGGGGAAGATATAAAGGGGATAATCCACGATAATGGATGGTCTGTGTGCTTTGCCTGTAAGATTCCACCATATTCCACCACTTGTCCTCTGCTGCGTCATGACTTCTTGTGGTGGGCCCATGGCAGCTTTTGGCCCTGCATTGTGCCAGGCGAGGGTATGCGAACCACACCCTCGGTGGTAGGCTTCAACAATGATCAGCGATTAGTTGGCATTCCTGCCAAACGGCAAGCAGTTACCAATCCGGAGACTCATTTGCAGAGACAACCTGCCATTCTCAGGCCATACATACTCTTTTTCATTTGTGTGCTTGCTGGTGAAAAACGTAGTCGATTCAAGCCGTGGACAGCTCAGGAAAACACAATCTTTGCGGCCAAGCGCCTGATTGGACGAACGTACGACGAGGATGCAACACAGAAGGACAAGAAGATTTTGCCTTACAAGATCGTCAAGGTGAGGTTCAAGAGGTGTAACACTGGATCAAAAAGGGTAAAACAGGTACAGTAAAAATTCTGCAGTTCCTATATGGCCTAGCCACGTTGGAAGACAGCTCGATGGAGGCGGCCAACGGAGATGCTTGGGTGGAAGCTGCCAGCCAGCAGTATTCGCCTAGCCAAATTGGTGCCTTCGTCCTCACCAAGATGATTCTTGGAGTGACATGCTTCGGCAAGACATGCAGCAGGTTAACGTGCAGTTGCAGCGTTGCTGCTGGCAAAGGGAGGCAACGTTGCGCCTTTGGCAGCCAAGGAAAGAAACAGCCGAAAGCTACTTGGGGCGCACAGTTAGCAAGGCAGGCAAGCAATCCTGATAGGGTTTGCACTTATCACTTACCATTAAGACATGGCAGCTCTCTGGAATCTTGGCATGGGCCAGCCCTGGCTTGGTCTTACACTCCAGCGCATGTGGCTTTGTTTTCATCAGGCTGTGATCACAGTTCCAGCCTACTTTAATGATCATCAGCGACAAGCGACGCACCGAAGCTGCATCGAGATACGGATTGTTTCTTCAAAGAGCACGACTAGATCCACTACTGTAGCCTTTGGCGGGCAACTCCGCGTCTTTCTTCTCTCGCAAAGCATGTCGACACCAGGAAGGATGCTGGGAAGATTGCTGGCATGGAAGTTTTGAGAATCATCAATGAGCCGACAGCAGCTGCATTGGCATTTGGGATGGAAAAGAAGGCTTGCCTAAGGGATCTGAAAACCTCCATGAGTCATTAAGGATGTGGCAGTCTCAAGAGAATTGTTTTCTTTTTGTTGACTATGATTCCCTTTGAGAGTAGAAACAAGAAGCTACTAGTAACAAGTGCCACGCTAGTAGTAACAGGTGCCTTACTAGTAGTAACAATGTTTGCTATTAGAAAAAAACTTTCAGACTTTCAGTCACCCTTCTGTCCCCTGAAGCCGGCGACTGGGTCTACCACTGGGCGACGGGTAGACCACGACCCCAGGAGGATGGGCAGATTATGGCGGTCTACGACTTGGGGGGGTGGCACCTTCGATATCTCCGTGCTGGAGATCTCCACCGGTGTCTTCGAGGTGACTGGGGCTGGTCTGGGTGGGTGGACCTGTCACCTGTCGGCTGGGTTGAGGGGCTGGGGTGGGTGAGGCTGGAGGATTTGCATCTCGTCTCAAGCCCTGAAAGCACTAAAAGTCGGACGACCAATGTCTGGTTGCACAGTTCATTCACATCCAATGGGCTTTGGCCCCCACATGATCAGATTTCCATGTAAAAGCGGTTTTCTCTGGCACCTCTAAGCATTCCAGGTGAAGCCTTGGATCCCGAGTCCCACAACATTGGAACTCGGTCGTAGGGGGCCTACCACAAGCTGAACCCACGCTGGGATTGGGAAATGGATGGGAGACCTCTTTAGCAGGCGGTATCTACTATGAGTGACTATGATCCTGGAGGAAGAGCCTGACATTGGGTTTGCCAAGAAGGAATCCGAAAGCCTTGTTTTAGTGAGGAGTTCACCTGCTGAATCTTCACAATGTGGCACCGTTGGCTCAAGCATCGGGAGGAAACATCAGTGAGGAAAGAGAGCAAATGCAGGCTTAGGAAGCAACTGTCAAAAGTCAAGAAGGTTGTGTGATAGCATGTTTCAGTGCCGCTGATCCACATGCACGATTTTCACTGCCTGTTCCCCGTGCAGGGGGCCAAAAACCCCTTGCCTTCAACATGCAAGACCAGTTGCACATCTCCAACCATGTAAGGCACATGAAGCCAAACCTAGAAGCTAAGTCGTGTTCCGATTCAGACCCCGCCGCGTCGCGTGTGTGGCCCGTGGGAAGAAGGTGGACTCCTGCCGGCCGATGGCTGAATGGTCTGACGGCCGGAACGAGACCGACCTGGAATGTGCCATGGCCGGGATAGTTTCAACATTATTCGCTCCAAGTGTTCCACGATTGATTGAAAACCAAAGGCAAATTTGGAAACGAAGATGAGCAAAGACCTCAAGCTGCAAAGGGTGTGCAGCATCGTTCTGCATGGGTTTCTGCATGGGTGCCGTGAGAGAGATGTTCTGCCGCGTTATGAACTCAGTGAGTTCCAGATTCCCAGGACAGATCGATGAGCTACGATCCGACGCTGGGTTGAATTATGTGGAGTTCAGAGGCAAAACACTAGGAGTTGAAGATTGGGAAGCTCACCGTCTTCACCTCAAGACACCTGTTTCATTCTGTTGCCACTCTTCAGCATGCCCAGCGTTGAGACTTCGACTGCTTCCAGTGTGGGTAGTTTGCTACTGCTATGTCAATTGTTCTTGTGGTTGGTGTTTCCAGGTATGACACTCATGCAGCTCCGTGGTCCTCTCAGATCTATTCTTACCAGGCCATTCGTGCTTCACTGTCAAGAAGGCCTAGGGCCGTAGGGCAGTTACTAAGTCACTAGTCTCCTCGCATAAAGGATCATTAAGGCACGTATCCTTTAGAAGTCCTCAGGGTTAGGGCCAAAAGGGTGACCGCTTTCCGAGCATTTACTGCGTTATGCGTTATGCAGCTGACGACCAGGCGCGGGATGCAGATGCGAACCATGGGATCACGCTTGTCCAAGCCACTCGACTGCGAAGTTCATCTTCCAATGCACTTACTGTATGTCGTCCTATGTGCGTCATGGCTTCTTCAGTACAAGGCACGCGCAAAGCCTCTCAAATGTTGGGAACGCATGCCTTTATCATCACTGAAACGTTCTCAACATTCTCTCTATTATGGCGCTTTCTCTCCTTCACAGCTAGCCTGGGATAGAGAGAAGGAGAGAAATGGTTTTGATGGATCGGTAGGTGATATTTTTTGAAAGGCAGGAGATCAACAGCATGCAACGTCTGGTTTTGTTTTTACGTGCATCTTTTTTACGCAACTCAGTCTGCATCATTTGCCTCTCACCTGCGGCTGGAGGAGCGCCCAGGTGCCTGAGAATGCTGGCTTGTAGTCACAGTAGCCACTCAGTATTCACTCATGACGCTGCCGAAGATTTTAGTTTCAGAGTTAGCTTGATCAGGCTCTCCCTCCCCACTTCGAGCTAGATCAAGGTCAAGATCTGATGCTGCTGCCTTACAACTAAAGACGGGAAAGATTCATGAGCCGCATGCAAAGAGTTCTGCAAAACTAAAGCATCTAAAGATGGGTGTATATAGTAGTGTAATGTAGTGTATACTATATAAAGTTTTCCTGAACCTCGCACCTAGGTTGGTCCGCGTGGAAGGCTCACAAGTCTCATGGATTCTCATGGCATGGGCAAAGCACACGCAGGGGATTTTTTGTGTGTCAGGTGGGATCGGCGAGAGCAAAGCGACAGCCGCGACAGCCGTGACAGCCGTGACAGTCGCAACTTTCGCACCTATAGCTTCTTGGCACTTTTGGCATGGAGGTTTAGTTTGCCGTGAAACTTGGACTTTTTTGGCCTTGGGAATTGGTGGCTTTGAGGGCCGGGCTCAGGTGACAGCCGTGATAGCCGCGATCGTCGACGCCCAAGGCTCATTAATTCGCCTTGAATCTGTGACATATGCCCTGACCTTCCATTTTGAGCTATTGTGTACTGCTTCGCTGAGTGGCCATCGCCTTGCAACCTTTGCAGGAAGAGGCCGGCCAGACGCGTCGTCATGGCCTCATCCTCGGAAACTTCTCCAGGAGGCCGTCATGCAGATGCACCGCAGCTTGATCCTCCACCCGTCGGCTTTCTTGGTCTTTGCAGGACACGCTCGAGATGGGACTGCTTCTTCCTCCCGGAGAGATGCAGGAGGCACCGCCTCCCCTGCTTTCCCACCACGAGATTCGCTCAAAACATAGACATAGTGGAGCTTCACACCCACAAGACCACGGTTTGTGATTGGAGGCCATTCTGGGCGTAGAGCTGGTGAAGGCGGGAATGGATCAGTGCCTGCTAGAGCGCGACGGGTCCGCGACGAGCGCTGCCCGCACGGTTTGCGGCAGGAGTGCGCCGGCGCCGCCGCCGAAGGATCCGAGTGGAAGGCCAATCGAGATGAGTGATGCTGCTTGCGATGTAGAGAACACAAGGTCTGACATGGTCTCCTTTGGACGGCGACACTTTCTTTTGATTGGAGAATGCGAGTTGTGAGATCTTGGAGCACATATTTTTGTGTGTTGTGTGCAGGCTCGAGACAGCAGGCAACCGAGTTGGGGCGGCCAGAGGCTCTTGGTGATGGGAGAGCTGGCGCCCTCGGTGGGGTTCTCAAGAAGCGATCAGCTTTGGAAGTTGCAGAGTCGAGCAGTTGGAGATGCTCAGGTCCAGACGCAGCATCCTTGAGGCTGGGTAGCACAATATGTAAGAGACCTAGGGGAGCATTGAGATATCCGGAAGAGTAAGCAGTCTTCGAGCGTCCCCGGTGTTGGACATGTCATCCATGGTGAACTGAGAAAAGCAGCACCAGATGAATCGAAGAACGGCCCTGTATGCGGTATGCGTGCAAATTTTCGGGGCATTGGCTGGACTCGTGCTTGCATTGTCAAAACCTGCAAGGGAAGCATGCAACGAGCACTTGGAAGAGCAAGAGCCGATGAGCACGACAGCTGCTCAGGCTTCATGGTGGCAATCTGCGCATATCCAATAGTGCTACAACGTTTTTAGCAGCAGGAGCAAGTCCTGGATTTTCAGCGCTTTGGTAATGATAAACCAAGACATTTTCTGGCACAGAGTGTAAAACCAGCAAAGGGAAAAAAACGTTTGTATATTGAACCTGGACCCCATTGTCATGCAGTCTGCCAGGTCTGCCAGGTCAGCGTTGTGGCAGTCGAGATGTACTGCACACATTTGTTAAATGATTTGCGTACTAGAAATCTAAAATGCTTAGAAGTTTCCTTCTTTCCAATGCAGTGCAGCGCAGCATAGAACTGAACGCATTGCCTGTTGCTTCTTTGATTTAGTCAAGTGGGGGAGGCTTCCTTACACCCGGCAACTCCAGGACCGACAGCAGGCCTGGGTGAAAACAGAAGGATTGATGAGACTAATCAAAGGAAGGGTTTGTCCACACAATCCTGAATGAAATTATACTAGGGCTGTGTGTGTAAGGATGATATACACCCACCATGCAGTTCTTTGATTAGGTGTGTCTCGTTCTTGTATAGAAGCCAAAGTGGGGGGCCTGCTTGTTGCAAGGTCTCACTCTAGTTCTGGACTCACTTTTGGATGAGGCCTGGAACAGCTGTGGGGCTTTTGTTCTTACTTCTTGTGACGGAATGCACAAGAACGCAAATTCAGCAAAGCAAGTCAGCCTGAGGCCAAATTGGGCCTGCACAGGTCTGCCATTGCAGAAACCATGGTGTTCTGCCACTCGGTTGTGCAGTGCGGTCGATTTTGGTGCACCGGACGGTGTTCTGTGTCTAGGGTGAGTCGTCAAGTTGACTGAGCTGATTCACCACGAAAAAAAACCAGTTGAATGAGGCGTCACTTCATGCCAGAAACTCAACACTGGTTTCAACGCAAATATCACATATCGGCGGTCTCAAAGGTCTAGAGCAAGCGGCGCACGCACAGACCTTGGCTACCCATTTGGCAGCTCGCTGTGTATCATCTACAGGGCCCATAGGGGTACTCGAGTCCTGGCAGCAGATGGTTGAGCTGCAGGATGGCTCACAATCGGTGCTTGTGCTAGCTCCCTCTCTGAACAAGAGGTGGCACAGTAGCTTTGTGTTCAGATAGGGGTTTTCTGGCTACCTTTTTTGCTTGTCATTTGCAGTAGATTCGAGCTCAGGAATTGGCCTGTTTATTTTGCAACTGGGAAGACATTCAGTTTTCTTCAAGACCGACTGTGGCTGAATCAAACTCATTTGGCGACGGCGATGTGCCCCATCCTGGCCCAAGGTATTTCGGACATTTTGCACAACACAGGCTATGCTCACCGATGCCCTGGTGCAAGCACCTACCGATCAGCCTTTGAGGAAGCGGGATTGAAGCGCCGTTTGACACCAGCAAATCTAGCATTTGCTTCAGATTCGTCACTTAATGTGTAGTGTGCTCATTGCGGCAGGAGCTGCTTCCTGGCATTTTTCACAGGTGGTATGTGGGCCTGAGAGCTGCTGGGGAGATCAGCCAGGGCGAGAGAAGTTATGCAGAGATGAAGCTCAGGCAACTTCTCAAGGAGCCTTGGAGAACAAGAATTCTTCAAGACATGATTTGATTTCATCTCAGCTGTCGCTCTCCAATAGAGGGCCGTGCCTTCAGGCCTGGCGATCCTCGGATTTCTTCCCTACGCTCTATCTTGATGGTATCTGCCTAGATCGAGCGATACCATGCGCAGTCCCATGCGTGCCCACGTGCATGTTCGGAGTTGCCACCACGCCCGGAGGAACGGGAGTTGCTCTGGTTTGGGGGAAGCGGCATTACCTCTGCACCAAATGAGGTCTGGAGGCGGCTGCCTTCGCTGGAGCTTTGGCCATCGAGGCGGTGCCATATCCAAGTTCCAAAGATGTTCGATTGAAGCTGGTCAGCATTTTCAACGGAGATTTGGAGAAAGGCCGATAAGAATTCAAAGGCCTATTCCCATAGGAATCCTAATGCTGTTTGTAGGTTTGCGGAACTATATAAGCGACTGAAATCCACAAGCCTTCTGGGCTGGAGAGAGAGCCGTCGATTTCATTTCCTCAAGGAAATTGGAAGTGTATGCAGCTTTGGACTTGGTAGCATTGGAGCGAAGATGCCGCAATAGAGGGCTGTGGACCAGCACTGGCCAGATTCCACCTTCACGATCCATGCTGCTGCAAAGGCTTAGAGTCTTTGAGGAGTATTGGCTCAGCCGATCGACCACAAGCCAAGTGGATGGTAGCACGACCATGCCCGAAGAAGGCGACCCCGGCGAGCCTAAGATCTCGGATGACCTGGATGGAACGCCCGTTGATGCCTCCCTGGTGCGGAAGAGGGCGAGGAAAGTCGTGTCAGCTCATAGGAGGGTTCGACAGGTTCGATTACAACATCGGACCATGCAAGATTCGCACAAAAACCGTGTCACACTTGGGAGGAACCAGTCAGCTTCAGTGCCGATGACTTCGATTGAAGCTCCCAGATGGTCTTGTTTGGAGACGCCTGTCCATGATGCGCCTGCGGCAGGCAGTCTGGAAAATGAGGCCCCGGGAAGAGCCTTTGGCCTTTTATGTTCTCGTCGTTTTGAGGCAACGATGAAGATCTGGATGGTGAGCCAATAGGTGTCTCAGCTGATCTCAGTGGCATCGCCATGTCCAGGGTTATGAAAGTATCATTTCTGCTGTTTTTGGTTCTTCCTCTCCTTGCGGTTCTTCTTGCTTTGGACCCTCTCCTCTCCTGGACTCCTTCTTCCGTTTGTTCGTGCCTTTCGGGAGTTGCACCTCATCCCTGATGACTGTCTGCAGCACCTAGGCGTTTTGGAGCTTCAGCAATGGCGCGCGGCCAAAGCTACCGCGGCCCCGGTTGCCAGTCACTTGGGTTTGCCAACAGGGCTGAGGTGACTGTGGTGAGGCTCAAGAGAAGGAAGGCAGATTGGTCTCACGAGTTTCAGCGGCAAAGACCGAGGTGCCGCGCGGAGTCCGCCTCTACCGGCCCCTGTGCCGGTGCCAATGCCAGTTCCGATCCCTGTTCCGCAGCCGATGCCTGTGGCTGCTCCACCTGTGATTGATGCAGGGTTCTCAGCAATGAACAAGAGCATTTGAGCATTTGGCATTTTGATTTTGTTCTTAGGCGGATGCGTTCGAAAAATCTGCCATAGATTCGATAGACGCGCTCCTTTCTGCTTCACAGGCAGCAGTTGACGCTTGGCAGAACATGTGAGTCCTGAGTGCTGAAACAACCGTGCTTGACTTCCCCAACCTTTTTAACTACTGCATGGTGGCCTTCAAACAGATGGATTAACATCTTCCTAAACATGTTATTTGGTCAGACAATTTAGCTTGAGACGTTTCCCCACTGTCACTGAGATCACAAGGATTGGATGTGAGCCTTTTTCTCCAGGTTCAGGCCAGGCAGCCACCACCACCACCGACCGTAAAGCGTTTGGAGGCTTGTGGCTGTTTGGCTGGAGCATAGCAGATTTGACTATTCAGCCGGTTGGGGAGAAGGTTGTCATGTCAAGGAAGAACGCAAGAACCAACGCTGCGCGAGAAATGTTAGCGCTCTCAACGGTGCTTCCAACTGTTGACAGGCTTGTAGCACCGGAGCCAAAAGAGGCCTGGCTGACGGTGAACGTGGTTGAACGTGTGGATGTTTCATGCCATCATACTGTATATGACGGGTGTGGGTTGAGACATGGTGAGACCTTTGGGGATTGGGGCCATCAGGAAGGAAGGAAGGAAGGAAGGAAGGAAGGAGGAACAGCATATTATGGACATATGGAGGGAATGAGGTGCTTGCTTGGCGTGCCACGATGCCAGATGAAATGCCTTCTCGACGACCTGGACGGGGCTTTGAATCTTCAAGAGATCAAACAAAGGCCTTGTGGACTTCCCCCTTTTTTTCTGCATTTTTGATTTTAATTCTTTCTTTACATGGGCTGTCCAAGGGCCTTGTGGACTGCGCAAGTTGCTAAATGCACATGTATCGACAAGTGCCGGCAGGCTTCTCCAAGTCGAGGTCGCCGGACAGGACGAAGTAGGTGCAGACAGCGGCCCCATTGTCATGTCATGTCGTTTCAAATGGCATTCTGTTGCGCGAAGAAGTCCTCCTGGGCAGGCGAAGCGGGAGCCGGAGCCGCAGCCGCAATGGCAGAGGCCGCGCGTTGAACTCTGTTGAACTCACCCACACACAAATTTGCACCGTGCGTGGTGGAAGGCAGATCGCGACGAAGGCGCAGACGTGATGCACCAGAGCCCTCCAACGCGACTGCCTTTCGCTCAGACCCGTGCTTCCATCGATTCTGAACGTCCTGTTGTTGCAACCGTAGATGGACCCGATGTGTTCAGACTGCCGCAACAGCTGCCGCCGCAGCAGCTGCGGCGGCTGCAGCTGCCAGTGCTGCAGCCTTCCTGTCGGCCAGGTGGGGGTCATATCAAGATGGCCCGATGCTAACCAGCACGTTCTTTTTGGCCCGCCCATTTGCGGGGCTGATTTTGGTCCTACGGACTCCGCTGAGTTCACAGGTCTCGGGCGGCAGCCGCCGTGCCAGCCGCCGTAGGGTTCGGAACCTTAGAGCAGCCGTCAACGCCTTGGTTCGACCATCACGACCTGCAGGCCAAGCCGGCCGAAGGCGCCGAAGGCGCCGAAGGCACGGGTGGAATTTGGTTGGGCTCACTGGCTTGAAGTATTTTGAGGTTCGGTGAACAAGCTTGTTACTCCCCAATGGCCTTGTGTGGGGTGCCTTTGGATAGGAGCAGCTCAAGGAGCGCAGCCCAGAACCAGATGCTGAGTTGGATGGCGATCCCCTTAGTGACGAGGAGAGCCATCGAAGCTTTGAAGAAGTCGTGGTTGAAGTATATACTGTACTTGCCCATTCCCGCCGCTTGTGCAGGACTTCTAGCCGTCTCAAGCTTTCTAGCACAAAGTCTGCGGAAAAAATGCCGGTCCGAGGAATCAAATGAACATGAAGCAAGCATGCTGGCCGGAAACACCCCGCCAAAGCGGCAAGCAAACGATGGCATGGGAAGAAGATACAACAAGAACATGGAAAGCCAACCTTTAAATTTATAATTCTACTGTAATTACATTCTTATTGTTACTAGTAGCAAGGCACTTGTTTCTAGTAGCGTCCTTGTTACTACTAGTAAGGCACCTGTTACTAGTAGCGATGCACTTGTTACTGTGTCAAACCCTTCGGATCATTCGAGACGTGGCCCGAAGACCTCGGGGCCGGTACGCGGTGCCCAGTCCGCCCAGTCCCTCGTTGCTGTGCGGCAAATGCAGGTCAAGGCGACGAATGGAGATACCTCTTTGGGCGGAGAAGACTTTGATCATGCGATCCTGCAGTACCTGGTGGAGGTTGGCTACAGAGCAGGTAAGGTATGGAATTGACCAGGATATCTCCATTATCTTGATCTCCGGGCCGCATAGAGCTGAAACGCAAGACTCAACGTGTGCCAGAAGTTGAGAATGACCATATGACTTGCCGTAGAGGCTTGCAGTAGAGGTGTTGGAGGAGGTCCTCTTTCATCCAACCTTCCTGCCAGGAATTCAAAAAGTCGCAGGGCATTGTCCTGCCCTGAGTCTTTTTGTCAAATGGCTGAAACTGTTTGTTAAATGGAGTTGCTACGTGTGGAACTGCCGCGTTTGGGACTGCCTGTTTGGCCGGCCAAGTGGCCCGCAAAGACGGGCCAGTTTTCTGCCTAAACACCTCAGAGAAGGCTGAAATCTGAAGTTGTCTCCATGGAAGGCACATGGATTTCGAAGACTTCACTGCCCACACACTGACACTTCATTCACTTTCATTCCAACGCCCGTTTGGTCTCAGCACATGGAAACCAAGAAGCATCACCACTGCCAGAGGCCACATTCGTTGGTGAGTCACGCCATGGGCTGCTGCCCTGGGCGACATCGGCTCCGCTCTTCGGAGGACGGAGGGTCCACAGACTTGGACGGGTTGGTCAGAAAGTCCGTGGTTGAACAGTTAGTTGAGCTTCCCCCCCATGACGCTTGCAGGAAGACCGTTCTACCCTTAGTTACTTAGTGTTTGTTTCTCCTGATGCCCTACCAAAGCACACTCCCAAACTGAGGGCTGCTTGATGGTGATGTCCGCTTGAAGGTGCGAAACTTGGCAGGTGAGGAGCTCCTCGGCATTGAGCAAAGCGAACATATGTGAACTATCATGAAACTAGCACGCGCGCTTTGTCTATTGGTTGGGAGCTGCCAAATGCCCCACAGAAGCTAACAGCCTCCTCGAGACTGGAAAGGGACCCGGCACCTACTATGTTTCTTCCTTCACTTCCTTCGTTTCTGGAACGAAGTGGACGGGGGCTATCGAGGCTGCAGCTGACATTCCCTTCAACCGCTCCAGCACGGGAGCTACAGGAAGCAGTGCATAGAGAGTGGAAGATCCCGCTCTTGGCACAGTGGCTTGGCTGAGCTGGCTGCGACGCTTCCTGAAACGAGCATGGCAACAGCATGGTGGAGGAAGTCAACCTCGACGTATCCATGTGGGTTGCTCTGTTTATTGACGGGGAACTATATAGTCATGTCTCGCACATTTGCTAGGAAAGGGCTGCATTGTGAAGTAGACATGAAGTGGGTGGGGGGAATGACGGCCGTCGCTGGGGATGGTTCCCATCTCCGCTCGACACTCTTCGAAAGGACCGGAGTCCGGTCGCTCCGATGTGCCGCGGCGGATGGTTTGCTCCGACTGTTTCTCTTTCGGCCCCACAAAGCCCAGGCGCTTTGTCCTAAACGATGTGCCACGGCTGCATGAAGGGCATGTCGTGGTTTTCCGGGATGAGGGCGTGACCGCGACTCGAGTCGCAGGAAGTGGTGCGCCTCGAGGGAGCTTTAGGTCGAGTGCTCCGGATGCCTCAAGGTGGAGATCTGGCAGCTTGGAGCGGGTAAAGGCGTCAATGAGTCTACTCCAATCTTTGTGCTGTGGACGGTGCGGAATTGGAATGGATTTTGGCTTAGGATTGTGTTTAGTAACAAGAAGCTACTAGTAACAAGTGCATCGCTTCTAGTAACAAGCGCCTTATTACTAGTAGTAACAAGAAGCTACTAGAAACAAATAGGATTGTGTTTCGTTCTTCCCTCATTTCTGGCACTTACACTGAGTGAGTCGATCTCCCGCCACTCGTTTCGCGCTCCCAAGGAGGTAGCTTTTTTGCGACGCTTGACTCAAATTGGATTGGACAATTGCAGCAGGAACTAACATTGACAAAGCATCATGCACGTTCTTTGGTACTTAAGAGGTGCTTGAAGCCTTTGGTGGGTTTGACGACGAGGTTTTCGGTGTGTTCGGGATTTGCGAAGGTAGCCAACTCCCAGAGGAAATCCAGGAGTCCTTAGATAGAAGGCTGCTTGGCAAGCTTGGGCTTGGAGAGTTTCGATCAACTCTTGAGGAGGACTTATATATGTCCTCACCTGGGCGTGGCCACCATTTTTGAGGCTTCTCAACGCAGTGGCTGCAGGCCTGGGAATGTGTCCTTGGGATGCCGAAGCAGATGGCCGGAAAGCGTTCGTGCGGTCACTTGCGGCACCTGTTTGTGGCTTTGGCGGCCAAGGTGATTACAAAGACATCTCTGAAGTCTTAGCTGAAGGAGCCACCTCGAGCCAGGACACTGTTCCTTCTTGGGGCTCAGTTGAGGTTTGGGGGTGCTGATGCTTTCAGGCACTAGTATGTAGACCCCCAAATAGATAGAAAAGAAAAACAATGTAAAAACCACGATCTATCTATCTATCTACCTATCTATCTATCTATCTATTTATCTATCTATCTATCTATCTATTGGAAATTGCTTCTATCTATTCGGGGGCCACTATAATATCCATGATGCATTATGTCAATCGGTCTGTTTATTTACTAAAAGCATTTCCCAACTGAGCCCAAACTCCCCTTGGAAATCTGCTGGAGCAGGTGTCGGCGTTCAAACACTGCCCACACAAGACATATATCAAGGCCATTCGACCAATGCGTGACGCTCCGATTTGACGGTCTGATGTTCCTTCACCGTGTCGGCCGTGCGCGTGCGCGAGGACTCAAAAGTGCCCACGCCACTCTCGGTGGCAGTAGCTTTGAAGGACACAAAGGCGCAAGAGATGCTCCTTGCTGCAGGCAGTGCTGAACAGAATTTGATTCAAAACTTTCAAGGTCGTGGGATAGATGACAATCGATGAATGCAGAAGAAGCGTAGACAGGCATAGACCTTTTCTGCTACGATGCCCTCTGGCACAAAGCCATACTAAGCCGCGCTGGGGTGCATGTTGCATGATCAGGTTGCAAGCAGTTGGTACCCATTGCTGAGCCAGCAGCTCCTCTGCCCATTGAATTGGCTTGTTTCTGCCTGCTTCCGCAGGCTTCAGAGAAGATATTGCCGAGAAACAGATGGTGCGGGCTGTTTTGCCGTGTTGTTTCTTACATTAAGCAGAACAACAAGCTTGAGGACATGCTTCAGGATGGTGCCTGATTCATCCAGATACGGAGTCATGTATCCGCAACCTTGTTTGAGACAAAAAGTGACAATGACGTGCTTCACGAACGCCACAACAAACTTGTGGTCGAGGCGTTCGGCAGTCTTCGGCGAGCATTTGCATCGCAGAGTCTCTCTGGTGCAGTGTGGTGTTTGGCGCAAGGTGCAGCCCCTTGGCTGTACTATAGGGGGATCATTGCCAGAGGGATCAGCGTCTTCCGCTCCATGAGACAATCCGCTCCACCCGCTCCATGCGCTCCATCCGCTAAGCCCCGATAATGACAATTGACTCAGATCCCGCGATACCCTCCAGCCCTTGGTAGCTTTCTAATTTTTCTACGTGTCAGCTTTGAGGTATTAGGTGCACTGTGCGAGGCGTGTTTCTTTTTTCTCCTAAGGATGTGAACACCTGGTTGCGGCGAGGCGATGGTGTGAGGGACACCTCAGGTGCCTTGGCGTGTGGTTTCCATGGTGTCCACAAGTACGTTTTACATGGTACCAGACATGTTAAACAAGACAGCAAGTAGCCGCTAGTAACCAGTACTTGGGCTCAACCAAGGTCCCAGGAATCCTGTGCCTTAGGCTAACAAGGAAGGTGTTTGAAACATGCAGTGCGGCCTTTTTCTCTTCCGATTGTTTGAGGTGGCACTCCGCTGCATGCCTGTTGCGCGCAGTTTTCACAGCCGGGTGCGAGCGCTGTGGTGACTCTCCTGTGCCGTTTGCGGGTGCGGGGTCCGATGGGTGACGGAGTTTGACGATGGGCATGGTGTGGTTTGATGGGCTTGGTTAAATAGAAAGAGGAAGGGGTGGAACCACAGCGACAGATGTCAAGAGACAGGTTTGTCAACAACAGCTGTGCGTAGGCCGATGTCAATGCTGGAGACAGCGAGGGTGATTCGCCTTTGGCACATGCCAGTTGCTTGGCTGCGACCTGCTCGTGAAGAGAAGACAAGATCTTGATATTAAACACATTGGCATTGGCGTGTGGCAATGTGTGTTGCAGCTCATAGTGCCGCACGATGTATCAAGATACATGCTGCAGTCTGATCTGCTGCAGCCAAGGATACTTCGGAGCGAAGGAAAGATGTGTGTGGGTACCATGGTGCTCTCAGGTTCATTTCGGGCAACCAGTTTTGATTTGGATGGTGAGCGTCCAGGAGATTGAATCGGTGCTGCGGCGATATGGTGCCAAGCTGAAGGGTCCTTACTATCAGCAGCTTTGCTTGAGAATAGATGCCGCATGCGGGGCAACACTGTCGATGCCAATCCATGAACGGCTCTGAGAGGCCACTTTCATTGCTGGACGGGTTCCTGGAAGTTGCTCATTTGGGTGGTTGTGGCAAAAGCTATTCAATATCAAGTCATTCATGACCTGACTTCTTGGCTTAGGCTTACTGCCTAAGCCAAGCACCCGCCCCAAGGTTCAGCTTTCGGAGGTGACGGCGGAGTTTCACGGCGGACCTGGTGCTTTGTACAGCGCCGAAAACGTGGCCGGCTCGCACGCAAAAGGTGACGAAAAGCACCGCAGAGGACCGCAGAGTCTGGAGCGTCTGATGTTTTTTTTGTTCCTCCTTTTGATCTGTCCGTTGGAAGGTCGTAGGGGAGAGGGTGCGACGGTGAGAAACGCCGCGTACGCTGGGGCGCTGACCAAGGACCTTTCCAAGGACAAATTGGTTTGGAGCCCAGCTGACTGGATGGACCTGGATCGGGGTGAACCTGAAGGTTTTGGTGTCAGAGATTGGGTGGGAGATGTGGCGTCCCCAAACACCTTCATTTCACTCCACTGGATACGGCTGACTTGGGTGGGAGTGTGATGAACTCAAAGGCATTGCAGCGGCTCCGAGAGGCAGCTGAAACAGTTGGAACCTCAGATCGACGCATCACCTGGGTGAGCGTAGGAGTGTTGACAGAGCGTCGTGCAGATAGAGAAACACGGGGCACCAAAGGGTTCTTACTGCGGGTGGTGGGTGCGCAGCAAATGCTGCATTGGGAGGACAAAGGAAAAGGGACCAGCAGTTCTTTTTTTTCATTTCATTTCAGGTCATGTGTGCGCAGAGCAGTCAAGCGCAGCGCCACACCAGGTCCCACAAAACAAGAAGCTGCTAGCATCGTAACTCGTAGCAAGAGCATGACTACTAGTTACTAGTAGCTTCTTGCTACGTTCGTAGCGATGCACTTGTCTCTAGTAGCTTCTAGCTTCTTGGGATCGGAACCCAAAAGTGCACAACTGCAAACACAAGCGCTCGCCACCGTGTGCACATTGCGCCTTGCGCAAAGCTCTGAGGCAAAGATTGAACTTTCCAGCAAAGTTCAGCAGAGGGCCTAGAAAGCTTCCATAAGACTTCATTGCTGTAGCTACAGTATGTGGTGGGAGCCTTGGTCCAGGACCGACGTGAACTTGCCCTTCATCACAGCGGACCAGACCGGCCCCAAGCACTTGAACATCCAGATGACCAGGACCGGACCAGTGCAGGTTCCTGGCATTTCATGGCCGATGGGCTTGGAGCTTGGCCTCTGACCATCGGGAGGTCCAAGCTGGAGCAGCTGGTGGATCCGCTGCTGAGTCGGACCAAGGCACCCTGTGAGGCCTGCACCAAGGCTGGGGTGAATGCTTTGGGTTAACTTGGGTGAACACCTGGGATGTTCGCCGATTTGGGGCCAATTGTCCTCCATCATGCCTTTGGCAACTTGGGAGAAAACGAGTGAAGCAGCGAAGATCTCCAGGATGCCGGGGTGAAGCCCAACGAGTACAGAGCTGAGCGCTGATGACTCCACTGCGGCGTATTTCTGACTCCACTTGAGTCCGGTCTCTGAGGATTGGTGAAATCCTTTTGGTGGGTGGCATGACACGCATGCCCAAGGCCAGCCTACCTGAGCCTTAGACGAGTGCATCAGCATAGGGCCTGGGGGATCGACATTTCTTCAGCATGTCAGCGAGGACTTTAGATAATCAATGATATGATCATGTGGGGGGTTCCCATGGGCAAAGGAGATCCAAAGCAGTTTTCTTTTTTTTTTTTCCAGTTCTAACTGCATGGTCCCTGTGCTTCTTGACCCCCAGGTCACCGAACTCGTCCGATCGATCTATGGCCCGGAGCTGAGGATGTGGCCAAACGGGGGGGGCAGAAATCACGGCACGTGCTCCTCACAAAATGATATACTTATTCAAACCATTTCAAACCCGAGTTAGACAATCACTGCAACATGGGGAATTTCATGGGAATTTCCGTCTATCTATACGGTACCCCCCCCATATCAACATCGATTCGTCAAATAGCAATTTCTATGACTTTGGAAAATCTGCAAATTCCAACCTCGTGGATCGAATTGTTCGGGGGATTTAGGGGGTCTCTCCCATGCTTCCAGGAATGATGTCGAAACTAAAAGTCGCCCATCCGCGTTGTGAACCAGCGAACCAGCTCGCCACAAGGCAAGGACCCATCGAAGGCGGTCAATCCAGATGAAGCTGTGGCCATGGGAGCTGCGATTCAGGCACGTAGTGCCTTGCCAACATGTTCGCTTGGTCTTTCTACCGCAATCCTCAGGGCGGCGTGCTGAAGGGAGATGTCAAGGATGTTTTGCTGCTAGACACCGCCTCGGGATGTGCTCAGAAAGGCTCCAAGCAAAGCTTGGCTTGTGATGCCAAGGATGTCACACCTTTGTCGCTGGGTATCGAGACCTTGGGCGGCGTGTTCACGCGTCTCATCAACCGAAATACGCCCGGGTCTCATCCGGCAAGTCAGGTTGAGCTGTTGGTTTTCTTGCCCGACTGGGCCAACTGAGGACCATTCCCACCAAGAAGTCTCAAGTCTTCTCCACGGCTGCTGACAATCAAACACAGGTTGAACTAGTTTGGTGGTGCGTTGCTGCATCTTGCTCGAATTGGACTCCATGTTGTGCAGGTGGGCATCAAGGTATTCCAGGGTGAGCGTGAGATGGCAGCAGACAATCAGATGCTTGGGCAGCAGGAGCCACAGCATCTCGCAGCTATCCGATCAAGTTTGATTGGCATCATTGGTAGGTTTTTGAGTTGACTCTGGCCTAAATAGTTGCCTTTTAGCCTGAGGTTTGATTTGGTTGGCATTCCGCCCGCTCCCAGAGGTGTACCACAAATCGAGGCACCTGCGACTGAAAAAGTAGCACACAAAGTGAGAAAAAGTGTATGGACTGTAACTGTACCACCTTCGCGACTGAAACTTGCCTTCGTGCGGGAACTTGAGGTGGCATTCGATATCGATGCCAACGGCATCGTCAACGTTAGCGCCAGTGACAAGGGAACTGGCAAGAAGCAGGAGAAGTGATGCACTGGACAAAAAAGATAAACATAAGAGATGAATTCATATCTACTAGCTATGGCCTCCAACCTAAGAGCAATGGCCTCCACCCCAATAGCGACGGCCTCCAACTTAATAGCAATGGCCTCCAACCTAATAGGGTTCCATGGGTTGCCGTGCTTTGATTTGCTGCCTTTGTGGCTTTCCCTCCGTCTCCGATTGATTAAAGGCTTGTATCGTTCTGGTTTTCTTGCCTCGCAGGCCATTACTATTCGTTCCAGTGGCGGCCTCTCTGATGCAGAGGCAGTGGGATTCTGTCCAGCCAGTGCTTTTTCCCCAGATAGCGAAGCTATGGGGTTCTTACTTCAAATAACAATGAGCTGCCCGTGCGCGCTTTCGAGACAGGTTGCCGGTGCGGTGCTGATGCTGGTGCTGTGAGCTGGCTGTGCACGTGGTGGGGACAGGGTGCCGGTGCTGGTGCTGGGTGCTGGCTGTGCGTGGCTGTGCGCGTGGTGGAGACAGGGTGCCGGTGCTGGGTGCTGGCTGTGTGATGGAGACAGGGTGCCCGGTGCAGGTGCTGGTGCTGTGAGCTGGCTGTGCACGTGGTGGAGACAGGGTGCCGGTGCCGGTGCTGGGTGCTGGCTGTGCGCGTGGTGGAGACAGGGTGCCGGTGCTGGGTTCTGGCTGTGCACATGGTGCAGACAGGGTGTCGGGTGCTCTGGGTACCGGTGCTGGGTGCTCCGCTTCTGACAGTGAAGTGATAGCAGCCGCCGCTTCTGACAGTGAAGCGCCGCTTGTAGCAGTGAAGGGCGGCCAACCGCCGCTTCTGACAGTGAAGTGCCAGCAGTCATGAGCCGCATGAACTTATGCACGCAACATCGTACGGTGTTGTCGCTTGAGCGTTCTTTGTCTATTGGCACCGTGGGGTACTTACACTCTTCAGGTTCTGCTTTGGCCGACAGCTGTGTCAAGGGCTGTGCTGTTTGCGCGCATACTTTATAATGTTCTTTGCGCAACGGCAGGCTCTCAACCGACCATTGTTTCAGCGTGCTTCAGCATGCTACACACACATAATAGTCGTGCTGGATACTGCTTGGCCTTGGGCAAGTGAAGCCTACGGGCTTTGCCGTTTGTGCGCATACTTTTGTGCGCGTAAACTTTTACGCGCAAGATCATGCGGCCTTATCGTTCTACAGATCGTTGTTTCAAGCATGCTACAAAGTCAATAGTGGCGCTTTGGATACCGCGTGGCCTTGGGCCAATGACACTTACGGGCTTTGCTGTTTGCACTCATACTTTTGTGCGCATAAACTTATAAGCACAAGATCGTTCGTTGTTACTCCCCAGGTAGGGATAGCTATGGGGTTCTGACTGCAAATAGTAACAATAATGAGCTGGCGGCGCGTGCTTTCGGAAATGGTGTCGGTGCTGGTGCCGGTGTTGTGGTCCTGGGTGCTGGTGCTGTGAGCTGGCAGAGCGCGCGTTTGAGACGGGCGGCGGCGCTGGTCGGGTGCTGGTGCCGCTGCCGGTGTTGTCAGCTGGCAAAGCGCACCGGTGCTGGTGTCAGCTGGTTGTGCGCGCTGTGGAGGTGCCGTAAGCTGGTTGCGACATTCTTGTTCCAGCCAGTCGCATGTCAACAGGTCGTGGGATTCTGCCTAGCTATTTGGGTCTATGCTGGTGTAATCTTTTGGGGGTATTCGCGTTCCAGCGTTCCAGGTGGACAAAATGGTCCAGGAAGCTGAACGGATGAGAGAGGCTGACCAGAGAAAGAAGGACAGTTGGTGCCGGTGTCTTCGGCACCCCACACACACCAGTGACATCCACTTGCAATTTCTTTGGCACGCCTGGAGTTTGAAGACGTTCTGAAATATACCATTGGTTCCCCACCAATGCAGGACACTGTGCAAGCCAAGAACGAGGCTGAAACCTTGGCATATCAGGTGGGGCTGTGACACACGCAGGCCTAGCTTATAATGGATGCTGACGCTCCCAGGCTGAAAAGCAGCTGACAGAGCTGAAAGACAAGATCCTCAGATGAGCAAAATTGTAGATGATTTCTTGCAGCTTAATTATGCAGCTGCGTGGAGTCACACATAATTTCTGAGTCCAACATGGCCAAACAGTGCCAATCCACCAGGTGGTGATAATCTATGGTAATCTGAGTGGAGCAGCCTCATGAGCCATTATTGCGACCTGAGGATGAGCACAGCAGATGCTGATGAGCTGAAGAAACTCATGGAGGATGCGACACAGCTCCCTGCATTCTTGCATCATCCGCGCAGCTCCCGAGGGAGATCTCGGCGTTTGTGCCACCATGTTTGCAAAGGATCAGACCCTCGCCAGGATTTGCGAACATGCGTGGCAAACGAGGATGCGGACCTTGATGAACTCAAGCAAAAGACCAAGGCAGGGCCTTTGACGAGTCTCGATTTGGGTTAGGACCTCACGGTCGAGTGAAATGTGCACAACGGGTAATATTTTGAATCATCATCAGGATTCAGGAAAGGGAGTCACGTTTGCCCGGGCGTTTGACAAATTGCATGGCGATGTCCCGTCAGTACGGCAATATCCAGAGCAGTGGCAGAACAAGTGGGTTAGGAACCAGACGTGTGCTGACTGATATTGTTCCAGGACCTGCAGGAGAAGTCCTGGAAGATCACCCAGCAAGCGTATCAGCCACTGCCCTGGGAGCAACAGGAATCGTTTAGGTGGTGAGTGCTGACCAAAAGCCAGACTGGTCGATGCACTGCCCAGGCAAGGTGCATCCAGCGAGCAGTCAAGTGAGTCGCAGGACAGGTCTTTGGTTTCCTCAGCTCTCCTTCCCCAGACGCGAAAAAGGATTATATATATAATCCGTTTCTGTTTGGCATTTGGGAGGCTGTCCTACAAAAAAGGGAGCTGACAAGACAGACCTCAAAGCAGGAGAAACCTGACGAGAAGGAGAAGAAGTGAGCCTCCAACTCAAGCAAGTACAGAGTCCATAGAGCTACTACGTTGACAGTAGAGCTCCAGCTAAGACGCCTCGTTGATTTTGAGGCGCGACGAGCTCCAAGTTTTGGGTCCAGGACGTCTTCCTGTCCCTTTTTGCGAGTACAGGCCACGGAAATTGTGGCGGCAAAGGCTGAGGCAAAGATGCCCACTTCGGAGCTGAGCCTCAGCTGGCGCCATTCACGCTGGCTGCGCTTGGTGTGACGCAAGCTAGCCAGTGCTGCAATTTTCATGAGCTGTCAGCTGGTGACCAGCCCCCACTGTTGCAACCACTCAGCCGAACAAGCTAAGTGAGATTTTGCATACAATCGAAGCCCTAGTCGCCAGCTATGCCAGCTTAAACGACTGCGCTGCAGTCTTTGAATTCGCACCGTACAGGTCCAAGCCTTGGAAAGCTATCAAATACGATTGGGGGGGGGGCCTGACCAGCCCACGTGCGTGGTGTCTTTGTCGGATGGAGTTGGACAGAGGATCCACCATTTAGACCTCGCTCCTCGTGGGGTGCTTGACACTCATTTGCTCGGCAGTCCGTTTTTTTGGGGCTCAGACCAAACCGTTGGAGATCATCGTGAAGGCAGATGCTTGCTTGATCTTGCTTTTGTTGTCCCTCCCCTATGGCCGTTGGATGATTGTCTTGCTAGGATCTTGCGGGTATGCGTCGTACTAGCTCAAGCTCAAGCTTGGGACAGTGTGGACCCCCAGATCTCTCTCGCTTCTTTCACTCAGCTCTCTTCTGTTTCAAACCTTTCTTCCCAAGGACCCGGAGGAAAGTGAGTCTGACCCTCCGAACGGACCCAGAGGGTTTTTCCAGAGGCCGGATCCACCCAGGGTCCGCCCGACGCGACTCCCTTCGCTGACGGAGTCGTCACAGGCTGGGAGGTCCACCCAGTGGCGCGCACCGGGCCACGCTACAGCATCGGCAAAGCAGGTGCGCTTTCTTAAGGACCTTGAGGACATGACGATGTGGTTTATCACTGAACCATGTATCAGTGTTTTTGTTCCTTTAAGTTCCCTCCATGCAGGAACTAAACGTCGTCTTTTCATGACATGATGGTTCCGTTGTCCATTTTTTTTCCTCTCACTTTGGTAATTTTGCATTCCGGCGGGCCATGGCCAATGGTATCAGTGAATCAGTATTGACTTGGCAGGCCTGGTGTCTGATGGAGATCGAAGGACCTGGGTGGACAAAGTGGTGAAGGAGTCTTAGCTGCAGCAAGCTGCGTGTTGTGACCACTTCTGTGAGCAGCAGAACTGTGAGCAGAAAACAAGGTCACTGTTTTGGTATGCTTTGGATGCATGGGCAGTGTTGAAGCTTACTGTATATAGTGGCACCTTATTCCAACACCATCGGGAGTGCTTCACAAACACCCCAATCAACTGTTACACAGATGCAACATTTGACTCATGAGATCAGTTTTGACAGTGACAAGGTCACCAGACGCCAGACAGCAAAGACACCAACGCAGGGTTAACAGCGGTTAACCTTTTGATCTGTCCTTCATTCACGTCCTTCCCTTGTCCTTTTCCATGTTGTGACTCGTTTTGACGCATTCGGGTTTGGATTGCATTGACGAACAATTCCCCGATATATTGCCCACAAGCCTCAACTCGTCTTAATGCATGCCACTGCAACAACACTTCATTACATTGCGAGCTTATCGCGGCCCGCTATTTCTCGATCAGCCAGCCAGCCGGCCAAGAACCACGGTCCAGCTGGCTGGCCGGCCGGCCGGCCAAGATCCACAGCCCAGCCGGCCGGCTGATCAACGACGACGACGACGACGACTACTACTACTACTACTGCTACTAGTACATGGCCCGCCGGCCGGCCGGCCGCTCCAGGTGCCAGCCGGCCGGCCGGCCGATCAAGGTGCCAGCCGGCCGGCCGGCCGCGGAAGAAATCGCTACTACTACTACGACGACGACGACTACTACTACTTGGCCGGCCGGCCGGCCGGCTGGTCGCGAAATAGCAGGCCGGGTTGCCCGCGCTGTCCTTCATTAACATTAACGAAGCAGCATCCCACCAATCCGAGCTGGTTGCCTCGCCTAAGAGCATCATGGGTGTAGAAAGTTCAGGCTTTGTGCAAGAAAGAAGGAGCAAATAGAATAATAGAAGTCTCACTCATTTGTGATGCTGTACGCAGGTCTATATACTGTATAGTGTGGGAAAGTTTGAAGATTGGCCGAGTGAGTGGGTTTGCAAGAAAGGATCTTCCCCTTGGGGAAGGGTTGCAGCGACCCAGCAGTTCGTTGTTTATTTTGTTTCCTTCTGTTTCAGTGGCCACCTAGCCGCCTAGGACAAGGTTTGGGTGCCTGGTCCAGGGGCTCATGCGACAGAGCGGAGCTTTGTCAACCCCGATGAGAATGAGTTTGATGCAAAAAAGTGCATAGAGGAGCAGCTTTCCATGGGTTTGGAAATTGACGCCTGGAAACATGCCGGTCCGGGATCAAAAAAAATTGCTTGGGGTCAAACTCAGACAGCTGATTTGGAGTTTGGGATAGATTGTTTTCGCAGAGTTGTGGCAGGACTTGCGGCCAAAATATTCATTCGGAAAAGCCATTTGGGAGCCTGCGCTGTCACATGCCTCCAGCCTGCAGCTAATGTTAGGACGTCTACATCGATGCCCTTGTTTTTCCGGACAGAAATCGGAAAGCTGATCTTAATCATTCCTGCTTGAGCCAAGGATGAGGTGAAACCGCAGAGAAACTCTTTCCGTGCTTCGTCTGCAAGTTCTGGCTTGTGCTGGTCCTCCGTGAGTGGCTGACATCAGGACATCCAAAGTTCGATCCGTGGTTCAACCCCGGCCCAGGACGACCTCTTTGATCTCTCTTGTGCAGTTCACACTGATGCACCATTCAATCACTTTCTCCTCAGCTGTGAGTAACTATCAATCAATGTTGCAGTCCAGAGCTTGTAGATCTAAACGCTGCTTAGCTTTACAAATTGGATTTTACATATGTAGGAAGCATTCTAATCACATGGCTGTTTTAGCAGCTGGGCTGTGGCACTTCAACCAGCGAAGAAAGGGTGGGTCTTCCCGGAATGCCTCAAGGAGCGCACACGCAGTTCACTGTCTTCAGCCGAAAGTGCGCCTGGGGTAGGTGTCGATAGGTTGCATGGTTATGCCGAGACAAATGGAGGTTTTGGATGCAACCCAGGAACAGAAGGTGATGTTCAGGTACCTAGTCAATTGATTAATCAGGACTTGACCTCTCTGGTGGAAGCTGCTTTCACACCGTTCAATGCGCTGTTTCATTGTTGGTTGCACGTCCATCGTGCAGGAAAGAAGCCGCAAAATCGTGATGATGCTCGTGTGGTTTTGTCGAAGTGGCCATTTGTTTCCAGAGCAAATCAAATCAAGTGATCAGGTAGACCAAATATGGCATAGGGCATAGGGCAGGCCCGCAATCATTCACGATCAGGTGGTTCTGCTATTCACACAGCATCCGCAAAATCGAACCCCCTCAACTACATACTGTAGTAATCTAGACAGTGACAGTGACAACTATATAATTTGTGCACAAAAGAGAGCATCCAGCAGAGCATTCAAAATGCACCTGATGGTGGGGAATGTCAGCAGAGCTGACTCGCCAAGGGCTGGGTTGCATCATGCATGAAAGTCAATGAATGTTTGTTTGCAAGTCAACGTTGTCCAATGGAATGCTGTTGGTTCCGAATGGTCTTCCCAGAAGACTGCCACATGCTGTTTGCATGGGCTTTTCCTAGCGCAGGTCAATGTGCCTGGACGAGTTTGGAACGAACAGAGACCTCCTAAGTGAGAAAGTTCCAGGTGTGGGACAAGGCCGCACACAGCCTTGTTCGAAGTCTCCGGTGTTGACCGGAAGGTGCCGGCCACGTCCTCAAGGGTGTTGATCCAGATATATGCACAGACATGCAGGACCATTCTGCGGGCATTCTTTCGCAGATTAGCAGGCAAAGCCAGTAGCAGGGCGGAATCTGGCCATGGCGGGCTATGATATGCCTGATGAGGCAGGCGAAGAAGATTTGGAAGAAAAAGCAAACAACCTTGGCACTTTTCTCCACTGATGTGAGGTTAGTTGGGGTCTATAATGAAACCCGCCCCAAAGGCCGCAGACGCCCCAAAAACGGGTGTGGCGCAAAGCACCAAGTTGTGCGGCCAGCGAGGCCATGGACGTGGCGGTGCTGGAAGGTCTTCGGAGCTTGCGCCTTCGAAAGCGGCGCATCACTGCGCCCAAGGAAGATGAAGTGCAACTGCAGATCAACTGCGTGCCTTGGCATCATTTCTGCCCCCCCAACGCAGGGAGCTTTGGTGGAAGTATATAATCAGGAATCTTCATATACAAACAGCAATTGATTTCTAGCCAAGGTGTTGGGACCCCTTCGAAGATACAAGATAAGATACACCGATATCGCTTGAATCTAGCACATACGACGAAAACAGGCTATGTTGATGATCTTGTGTGTGTGTATACATATGTATGTGGCTCAATACATGTGTGTTCCCTCGTCCGGTATTTCACTGCATTCATGCCTCCCTTTATTGGGTGGGCATGGATGCTTCCATGCCAGGTCGGCATTTGCGGCTCCGATATGGCCTACTGGTCGAAGGGTGTGGCTGGGGGGCTTTGTGCAGCTGGACTTCTCAGAGGAGGGCCTCAACCAGGGCTACTGTGGTCAGATGGGGCACGAGTGCTCGGGTACCGTGCGATCGGTGGGGGGCCAAGGTCACTCATCTTCAGGTGGGTGACCGTGTAGCATTGGAGCCTGGCGTCCCTTGTTGCTCGCCTCGCTAAGACAGAGGAACAAGACGAAGGCAACAGACGAAGGTAACAGACGTTAAGGCTTTGAGAGGTCGACCGACGGTCCACGGGGTTTGGCTGATTTGCTTCTTGGCGTTGCTTTTGGTGGTTCTTCTGATGTTTGATGATGCTTGGAAAGAGCTCAGAGATGAGTGGCACAAGCAGTCTTTTGGAACCTGAGCCAAGTCCAAGGCTCCGACTGCAAGCTTTGCAGGTCCGGCAGATACAACCTTTGTCCCAAGATGCGCTTTATTGGATCAGCGGTGAATCGCGTTCCTGGTGCGCTGTGCCGGAAGTTCAACCACAAGGCCTCCTATTGCTACAAGCTTCCGCCAAGTGTCAGCCTTCAGGAAGGAGCAATGCTGGATTCTTAGAGCGACAAGCGTGCAAGAGTCACATTTACACCACCCCATCCAGCTTGGTTGGGGCCAGATTGTCTTAGGTTAGAACCCCTTTGCGTTTCTTTGCAAGCCGTCACCCGAGCCAAGGCAGGCAGCGAGCTGTGTGAAAGAGCATGTTCATTTTGTCGTGCTGTACCCTCTGTGTACTCGTACCATGTCTCCTTCTTTGAACTTTGTCTCGACAAATTCCTTGTCTTCTCCAGACTCCAGATGTGTCTTTTTCTCATTTGTGGACTTCTTTTGGGGACAAATTTGCTGTGTTCAGGTGGGCGTGGGCCACCATGTTTTTGTGAGTGGTGCTGGCCCCATTGGCCTCATGACGGCCATGTGTGCCAAAGCGGCTGGAGCTGCTACTGTAACGATTACTGACATGGTAGATGCCAAGTTGGAGAAGGCCAAAGAAATTGGCTGCTCGGCATGTTGCTCCTCGTGTTGTTCTCCCGCACCCCAAACCCGAGAGAAGCCTGGAGTAGCGGCTGAGAAGCCTTTTGCGTAGCCTGGCTGTAGCCGAGGTGCAGATTACACACTCAAAGCCGACATGCCCGATTTGCTCTCTGCGCTGGAGAGCTGCATTGGGGAGAAGTTTGACATGAGCTTTGAGTGTTGTGGGGTGCCCGCGGCCCTCAACAGCTGCATACAAGCAACGATGCCCGGTGGTGTCGTGTGCGTTGTGGCGAACCTGCCACAAAGCATTCCGCTCGATTTGCAAGTGGCGGTGAGGCATGAAGTGGACATCATTGGTGTTTATCGATATTGCAACCTGTATCCCCGAGCACTGGCCTTGGTCTCCAGTGGGAAGATCAACCTGAAGCCACTGATTTCCAAGACTTTCCAGCTCGAAGAGGCACAGGCCGCTTTTGAACACTTCGCCTCTGGTGAGCCCATCAAGGTGATTATCCAGCCCAGTGCGCCCGAGCAATTAGTCTGAGAGGCCCAAAAGCCCCCATGGGACTTGCCCGAAGGAAGTTGCTTCGAAATGGCCCACTGGGGGTGTCTCACGGCGTCTCGCTTTGCGCACACGGCTGGAGCAAAAAGCAAGGTGTCAGACCACTAGGAACAAAGGGCTGAACACAGGCTACTCGTGCAGCTCTATGCCTGTTGGAACTTGGAAGCAGTGCGAATGTTGCGTGGAACTTAGCATTTGCATTTTGAACTGCTGCAGTGTTGAAGGACACGAGCGCAATGGAACCAACATGCCCAGCTAGTTAGTTGAAACCATCGCTCCAGCAAATCAGCAAAACTTCACCAAGTTTGGAGTGCCTATACCATTGGAACAATTTCTTTCCACCCACCGCGTTTGATGGCACTTTTGGCATCGTTCCACAGAGAACGCGATGTGGTCAGTGAATGCTTCGTTTTTGGAACCCCGCTGCTTGTCTGAGATGAAAGGGGATCAGGCCACTCTAGGGGAGTTTGACGCAAGCGAGGCGACAAATCCATCGCTCAAGACTGGCAGGTGTGGGGCATTTCACAAACAAGTAGAGGGCATATCAACTCCCTCAACTGGCGACGGGCTCAAATTGAGAAGCCAGAAAAACATATATAACTAGTCTCCTGTTCTCCCAGACGACTTGGTGATTCAAAATGTAGGAGCGCCAGCGTCAAATCGAGACCTTAGCAAAGGTCCCGCTCTTGAAGTGGCGACATCCTCAGAACCACGCCTCCTTTTCATCACCTGCGGTGACTTTCTCTGGTAAAGGCTAAGGTCAAATGGCTTGTGAACCTTGTCCTGGATCTTCCACCTGATGACATTTTCCTTTTTTGAGTTGGGTGTGCACTGGTCACTAGCGGCTCACTTCACCAAACTGTCATTGGTCGGGTGTTCTGGTCTGAGTTTGCCTGAGGCAGCGGTACAGCGCAAACGCTGCATGACTTTTGATACACGGGGGTGGTTCACGGGACCGTCATATCTTCTTGGCTTCATTGATGCCACGACAGTCAAGATACTATCTCCACACCACATAGGAAGCTCACCGAATGTTTTTCTATTGTTTTTTGGACTTCCAATGTTATATGGGGTTATATGGGCGCACTTTCGCTATGTTAGTGGCACCTTGGGCGTGCATGTTCAGCTTCCACAATTACTGAAATAAAGCCAGCTGGAAAATGCCCGAGCTACCCTTCCCTTGGATTGGTTCCTGAGGAGTCCCTAAGCTTAATAAACACACTGGAGCTGCATCATTTGTCAAGAAGCCGAATCCTCTGAGGGGTGTGGGCCCTGGAACCTACGACCCTCTGCTGCCGAAGAGCCGAAGCTGCACCATGGGCATTGGGGCTCGCCCAGAGGGTGCCGATGCAGGCGACACCCCAGGCAGGAACCTCCAGTTTAACCGTCGTTCAGGAATCAATTTTTCACTTCTTGTATCAGTTTGAGAGTGAGCTGAAGGGTGGATTCACTGGAAGAGGGAGCAGAGACATCGAAGCTGGCTATGCTTTCCAATGTGTGCAACTCTCGTCGTGTAGATTATATAAGTTCTAGCAGGCTCTTCTGAGGCTCTTCTCCTCTATTTTTCTGCCATTTCTCAAACCTTATCAAACTACACAGGTCCGTGGAGCCCTGCCCCCAGCACAGTCTTCGGACATTCTGGAACTGAGAGTTTCCCGTGCAGAAGCCGAGGATCCAGCCCAAGGGTGTTTCAATGTGTATTAGCGTGTTTGATGAGCCACGCAGGCCCTGGGCAATACCTTGTGTCACGCCTGGCGAGCGATCCAGTGGTAGACAAACCGCAGCAGTCGAAGCCAAATGCCGCCCGACTGATGATGTGTTGACATGTGTTGAAGAGTGTTCATGTCCATCTTGGACATGCCTTGCATTGCTTCGCAGTGACGCCGAGGTCACTAGAAGTTCCTTCCGCTCAACCACATCCCGTTGCAACCCTCAGAACCCTCGAGAGCCGACCTTCGTGCCAGGTGCGGTGCGCACCGATCTGTCGAACGGGTGTCGTTCCACTTGTTCGACAGGATCTGGTTGGTTCATTGCTTCAACCATCTTGGACAATCCTGGGCCGGGTCCTGACATCACCCGCCCCATCGACTTTCGCCCCTTCACAGGCGTGCCTTTTTTTTTGGTCAAGACACAGACGTGAAACTGATTGGGAAAGCATTGAAAACAAGCAGAATGGACAGATGAACACACTCACACAGATAGATATATATATATATATAATTATATCAATGTATATATATATGGTTTATTTATTTGTATATACACATATATGAACATATATGATGACCGGGGTTGGCCTAGACGACCTCCGTTTTGAAACTGGAGGCGGGACCTATGCCCGAAGCAGGCCAGGGAAGCTCGATTGGGGTGCTGAGCGTGCCATCCAAGCGGTGAAGGAGGGTGTGAGGCTCCAAACGGAGTTCGAGACCCAGTTGTTCGCAAGCGGAGATCCATCAAGATCACACATGCTTGTGAGAGAGAGAGAGAGAGAGAGAGAGAGAAGGAGAGAATGTGTGTCAAATCGGTTTTGATATGCATCCAAACACAGGATACGTTTGGAACGGGTCATGCGTTGGGTTGGATTTTTTTCGGTGATTAGAGACAGACCCAAAGTGTTTCTGGCTGTTTGTCATGATCGATACGTCAAACCACTGAACTAAATTCAGGTTCTTGTGAGGCCAATGAGTGCCAATGGTCCTCCAATGTCGCCTTGCTCGCTGATGCTAAGGACGGCCCCCGCAATTAAGCCCTTGCGGGCTCGGGGCGAGTGGAACTTCACGGGCGAGCCTGGAGATACTCCAGACCCTGGGGAGTACAGCTAGGGGCCTAGATTTTCATGGACATACTGTGCAAATCGCAAGCAAATCACAACTTAATTAGGTTGATGCGCATGGATTACTTTGATGTGCTGTGTGCAAGGTCCTGATTACCTCAACATTGGCCGTGGGAAGCCCGTAGCAAACTTTGATGCCGCCTGTGAGCGAAATGGCTCTTGGGGTGCCATGCTTGAACCGTGACAATTGCACGAACTCTGAAGATGGACTATGACGGACACATCTCAGACCAAATGGTCGAGGGATGATACAAGAAAGCCTAGATCTTGTTGATTGATGCTCTGTTGGCAACTCCCTGACTCTCATTCATTCCCGGTCTCTTCCCGGCATGAGGCAATGTGGCCATGGCCAAGAACCCGGGGCCGGGAGCTTACGACCATGAGCCGCCAGAAGGCGGGACGGATCACAGAAAACGCTGCCCTAACTGGGACGATTTTTCTTCAGTCCCTGAAATCGGCACCACACCAAGAGGATAGGTGGTGAATGTCCACAATGAGATGGACATTTCACCGTGGATGGGCTTCCAAAAAGGCAACCTCCCTTCTCAACACTAGCTTGGTGCAGGCTGGAAGGCCACACCATAGTGCTTGTAACAAGGCTTTTGTGTCAGGCAGGGTGTTGGGGCCTTGAACCATCCATGTGCAGGTGCTGGCCACGGAAAGGGCATAGAGCCCCCCGGCTTTGGGTCTGACTCTGCACAAACATCTACGCAGTTTTCCTCCAGCAGGCTCGGTCAGACCGTCAGACCGACAGGGAGGGGGGGAGAAATGGACTCCCAGTCTGCCGTGTGGACAGTTTCGAGGCTGCCAGTGGTCTTTTTTTCGAGCTCTTGGTCGCCTGCTTTACTGCCTGGACCGGGCACCTATGATCCTGTGAAGGCTTCGCCTTCCAAACAGTGCCTTGGCCTGACCGCGGCCAGGCCCGACCAGGCTTCCAGCTTGAGGTGAACATGTAGTACCATAGCCATAATCCTTCTTTCTTATGTGTTATGTTGCCAATGATTCATAGGTGATTGTTTTGAGGGCTTCTCTATTGGGCGGCCTCAGGCGATTACCAAGGGAAACCCGATTTTTATGGTAATTTTTTCAGTTTTTTTCATTTTTTCTCGGATTTTATTTTTCGTGTTTTTTCACCTACTGCTTTTGCTTTTTGCTTCTTTTGCTTTTGCTTTTTGCTTCTGCTTTTGCTTCTGCTTTTGCTTTTTGCTTTTGGCTTTTGCTTCTGCATTTGCTTTTGCTTGCTGCTTTTGCTTTTTGCTTTTCCTTCTGCTTTTGCTTTTGCTTTTTGCTTCTACCTTTGGTTTTGCTTCTGCTTTTGCTTCTGCTGACTATCTTCTTTGCATTGACACTGCCACAAAGTTGGATGATAAGACCTTCACCTTGAGCTTTGACACCCAATTACACCAATCAAGAAACGAAGCAGCCCAGCGCTATCTATATTTGATTTGCATTGCGGGGG